TGATATCTTCACATGTGAAAATAACATGTTATCTTCACATGTGAGAATATGACCTTTGCTATGGCTACATAATAAATCGTGCCTTTCACACCCAAAAACTATTAAAGTGAAATGGTTTGGTATTTCATTGGTGTTTATATAATAAATAGAACATTACATGGCCGCTTGGAGATATGAAATTTCTCTTCTCGTGTTGAAAAAATATTTCACTCGTTCGCTGTGCTCACTCATGAAATATTTTTCAACACTCGAACGGAAATTTTGTATCTCCGCACAGCCATGTAATATCCTCTATATATTGTACAATAATTAATGCTAAAATATATTTATCGATTTTATCTTTTGCAGGAGATTTTGTTATTGCTATCATTAGTTTTAACTTTACTTCATTTTATTTACGGGTGTAAAAAAATAAAATATTCATATTCCTTGCAATTCGATTCGATTTCGATTATTTCGATTCGATTAACAAATACGTAAATGTTTCGTAATTCTTATAACATAACGCGTAATGTAAACAGCATGCAACCCTAAATCCTCAATATAAGAACAGTAACAGAGACAGGAGGATTCACAGTCGCGTGGTTCGTCGCCATGTTTGAGAACCTGACAATTATAATTGCCTTATTTGGAAATTCTCAAGGGGAGATTGAAGGACAGCATTTTTGCCAGGCAACTCAAAATGGCGCACGAACTGCTATCGTCTTTGCTCGTCAATCAAAAATGCACATTAAAGAGTTCTGGATTCTTATTTTAGAATATAATAACTCACTGAGGGCACCCTGGAAAAGGTGTGCAAAAACCAAACCAAAATCAAAATGCGGAAGCAAAAAATCCTGAATTGAACTGAACGGTCATAATCACAATTAATCGAGAATTTGATTAATTGTTACACTACTAATTTTATTTAGCTAGATGTCTGGCATGATGGCACCCCTGTTGCAAGACTAAAAATGTTTGAATAAAGGTTGAATAAAGTATATAGTTCAGTTAAAACACAATGATTCAATGACCACACTACTACATCTCATTTAAACTCCAGGTCTGTGGTCTAAATGTAACTTTATTGGGACACACAAATGTAAACTAAAGGGGGAAAGGCTGAACCCTTTTTTAACAGAAGTCAGTTCAATGACAACATGCCCGTTCAATAATCTCAGTAGCCCATGTACAGCAATTTTTTCTGAGGGGAAGGGGCAACTGTACACATGCTTTTATCGCAGTATTAGTTCAAAAAACACACATCAACCCAATTTCCATCGTCCAAAATAAAGGAATTATAGGAGCAAAGTATTTTATTACTTTGGGTAAGACAGTTAGATTGAGTTTAAGTTGGATTAGGGGTGCAGGTTTTCTCTTTTGCTGACCATAGTTCAATGACCTGACCACATCTCGGTTCAATAATCACGGCAGAAGTTCATAAAACATACATCAATTCAATGTCCAGTGACACTACTTTAAGGAATAGGAGCATTATTTTTTATTTCTCTGGGTGAAGTGGAAGCAATGGAAAGGGGTGAGGGTTTTGCATGGCTGAGCTTCTGGTCCATACTTAAAACAGCTGGCATTTTTTATTGCTTGACACTGTTAATAAACCTGACATCAGCCTACTAATAGTGTAGTGTAGTGTTTTGTACTGCATATTCTTCCAGTTTGTCCAGGGGCCTGTTTTTACTGTTCTTTCCATTAGATGCTTGTATCTTGATTATAATTTTGTAGTTAAAATTTCTAGGAAGGGGGTTGGGGGTTAGTAGTTATGCAGAACCATCTATACTTATCTTAACGTTTTTTGCATTTCAAGGTAATTCTGTGCCCACTGATAATTATTAGATGATCTTGTATTCCTCTGCAACTCCAAAGCAGGTCAAAAACTACCCCTTCGGAAGACTTTTGAGGGGAATTTTATGCTACCACACGTTTTCCAAGAAAGGAACCATGTATAAGCAATCACAGGAACAACAATGTTGAATCTGGGTAGAATGATCCCAGGAACTTCATAATACTCAGTCTTTCCTACCACCACCTGGCATTAGGACAATGCAATCATTACTCTCTAAAATGGCATTCACAGCTTCTTGTTTGCCATGAAATTTGAAATATTCAAACACAATTATTTTTTTAGAAAAGTGTCTAGGTCAACGTCTCCTGCCTGGCCAAATGGTAGTTATGATGGTATCTCATCAACTACATCACCCTCTTCAATCAGGGTAACAAAATTGTCTATCAAATTAAAACCAAAGTTACCAAAAATTTATTTGTTGAGACACAAATGATGTGTTGTAAAAGAGCATGACAAAACCAAATTGGTCTACTGTGTAATATCACAAAAACAAATAAAAAACAATACAGACAATAAGTTTTTGCTGCACATTCGACACAGCTTCATCATAAAATGAGGTATATAAATAAAAAGTAAGTAGAAGTTATTTACACCGGGCTGTGCATTCAGTGACAAGTCTAGTACCCAGTGTGGTAATCGAACAATAAAAAAATACAAGTAAAAAAAAACCTGGAGCTAGTTTTGTGGCTGTTTTTCCGGTACATAAGCTTACATTGTCGAGCAAGTGATACACAATGCAAAATCCTGAGACAAAAAATTTAACAGATTTAAAAAATATTTTCTCATCTATTTCATAACATAACTTAGAGGTCTTGAGACTAGACTGGTTTGTTGCCTTTTCGAGTACTCAAGATACAGCGTGCAGCAAATAGTATTTTAAAGCTTTACAAAATATTTGGCTTCATTTGACTGTTGCAACAATTCTCAGCTCGCCATTTTTCACTTCGGCTGAAGAGATCGTTTCATCACTAAAGAACCTTAAGAGAAACGATTACTAACTTACTAACTGTACTGACCGGCTGTTACCTTAGCGTGCGGCAGTTTCATTAAATTAAAGGCAGTACTGTCCCGTCCGCGGCTAGTAGGTTTTCGATATAAATTTCGGTAGTAAGGGACTTGTCAGAAATTAGCAGGGGGGGGGGGGGGGTGGGAATTTTAAATGTGGGTTCGGAAATTAGGTGACCCATCCCTTCAATGGGAGTGAAATTTGCTAACCCTCCCCTTAAGCTTGGCCTAAAATATCACGACCCTCCCCACCTTACAGAATTGAAAGAAAAATTTTCCAGGCTCTTTAAGGTGCAGTATTCCAAGCCAACAAGAAAAAAGGAAACAAAAACAAAATAAAAGGAAAGCAAAAAAAAGCTAGGGCAAAAAGAATGGAAGCTAACTGCAAAAAAGTTATTGAAACCATCGCACCTCAGCAGGAATCGCATGATGTTACAGAGCCTATTGGCCCATTATCTCTTCATTGTGAAGGAATAAGTGGGCTCCTCAAAACACAAAGGCCATATATCCAATTAATATGCCTTTGAGAAGGGATTGTTCACCAATGAATAACAGGAAATTATCCAGCAATATCCAAGCTTGAACTAAAATGAAAATCATGATGATGATGAAAGTGATTGTATCAATGCTGATGACATAAATGATGATGATCAAGATGCTCACAGCAGCATTGATGGTGACGCTGAAGACAGTGATGAAAAGGATAGCCAAAACTCTAATAACATTAATAACAACATTATTCATAATAAAAATGCAATAAGACTCTATAGCATTGCCGTGTAATAAATGAAAAGTAGATGTTTGTTAAATTTTTGCAATAGTACTTCACAGTTTATATCCATAATGTTCCGTTGTTCTTTATTATTTTTTTTCTTTTTGTTTTACCAAATAAAGAACTTCCTTTTTCTTCTTCAGGTGAACCTCTACATGATCACAGGCATATATTTGCATGACCCTCCCCCTTTTAACGGACCATTTTTCATGACCCCTCCCTTTTCCGAGTCTCAAAAAGTTGTGACCCTCCCTCTGTTTCCACCCCCCTCCCCCCCTGCTAATTTCTGACAAGTCCCTAAACATTATGCAGGGGCACCCAACGACAATTTTTTGGAAAAATATCTTTTCGGAAGACGATTTTAGATCTAGAATTTTCGGAACATTTGTTGTAAGATTTCTTGCTTACCTGCTTCTCCTAGGATTTTCGAACATCTAAAATATGGTATAATTGCCTATTTTTAACGGATTTTTACCCTAAAAAGGTCACCTAGAATTTTCGGGAGCCTTTTTTCAGGCTGAAATTTTCGAAAAGGTAAGTTTTGATCCCTATAATTTTCGGATCACTAGACTTTCAGCTAGGAAATCCGAACAGATGAAAAATTTTTAGGGGATAAAAATATGCCCATATCTACCGTTTGAATACCAAAATACGTTTAACAATGCTATGTTTTAGTGGTTTTGAACTATATTCTCGTTGGGTGCCCCTGATTATGTAGTTCGGTAGCAAACATTATGATGCTTGAGTCCAATGTGTGGGGTGAAAACAGCTTCCTCTTCACACACACGACGTGGATAGGCAATGATTTGCTCAAAATTTGCAAATGAACAGGGCTGAACGTATTTTAAAAATTGCAAATTGGTCCGCCATTACTCTTGCCGCCATCTTGAAAACAAGATCTGATCTGCCAGACGTCTCGCCCGTCGTCTCCTTCCCGCCTTCCTTTGCGCGCACATTTTCATCAAAAGAGAGACGTCTGGGTACGAGGTAGATTTTCACCGTTGTTGCAAACAGGTAACCATGTGGTGCAAAAGTTTGACGCTAGAAAAATATATGAGCTTTCGAATGAAGTGATTTTTTCCGCCCCCTTTTGTGCCTGTTTCTCCCTTTTTGCCTTTAAACTTGGTGCGACGGCAATGTTATGCTTACGCAATTGGTTTATATACTAGACCGGAAATAAAAAGCTGACCGGATGTTAAATTTTGTACTCATGCGCAGTGCGTTTTGCCGCGGTGTTGGTACTTGGGGTCCGCTCCATTCTAGTTTCGTTTTCACTTCCGCCTCAATCTGTTCAAGTATCTTTCATACCCAGATGATGGCTTCCCTTAACCTAGAGCAAAGGTGGCAAACAAAACCAGCTCTGTCTTGGAAAGAAGCAAACTCATGTTCAACAATACTCTTTTAAGTGACATCAAGTTTGCTTTTCCTAATCCTGATAGCAACTCAATGATTCCAGCTCACAAGTATGTTCTCGCCACTAGCAGTCTAGTATTTTTCACTATGTTTTACGGCGATCTGGCTGAAACCAGCGACACTATAAACATTACTGACTGTGATTCAGACGTCTTTCTTCGCTTCCTACGTTTCATTTATTGCGAGGAAGCGAATTTTGAGGACATAATGTGCGCCATTGACGTATGGCATCTCGCCGACAAATATGACGTCCCTTCGCTGGCGAAAGAGTGCTTGGAGTATTTAGACGGAAACATGGATCCAGTGGACGCCTTTGATCTATTAACGTATGCTCGCCGGTTCAATAACGAGTTTCTGGAACAAACTTGTTGGGAGGTGATAGATTACAATGCGGAAGCAATCGTTGCTGATGAATCATTTCTAGATGTTCAACATGCGTTTTTACTCTCCTTTGTTAAACGATCTTCTGCACGAATCAAGGAATTATCCTTATTTCAAGCTTTAGATCGTTGGGCTACAAAGAAATGTGAAGAAGCAAGTACGAGAGTAGATGGAGAACACAAAAGGCAGTTCCTAGGAGAGGAAATGATCAGGCACTTTCGATTTTCCTTGATGTCACCTAAAGAGTTTTCAGATGAGGTTGAACCATCAGGAGTTTTGCAGGCAAATGAAATACTTGATGTGTTTAAGCAGTTCTCTTTTGTTTCTATCCCTGGTGGATTCAAGTTCTCAACGAGTCCCAGAAGATCATCTTACGAAGCCATGACTCTGTCCTGTGATCTCGGCAGTATCAAAAATGGCAGCTTTATGACTCATGTGTCCAGAAAGACAGGGCTATTGGCATTTGCTGTTACAGAGGACATCTCACTTGGTGGTGTAAGAATTGTTACTGACAAAGGTCGAGAATCTTGTCGCGTTAGTCTTGCCATCTCTCATGGAGATAAGCAGTTGAGACGAATCAACGATCACAATTTTACTTGTAATACCGGTACATATCAAAGTGCCGATCTTAGCTTCGGCCGCTACGGGGAAATTGATGTTGTCTTCAACAGGCCTTTCGCCTTGGCAAAGAACACTTGTTACACAATCAAAACTAATACAGATACTACAAATAATCTGGATTCCGGCTTCGTCTACCAGCACAAAGACCAGAAACCTAAGGAGACAAGTGGGTTCTCTCACTCGATGGCAACCTGCTCGACTTTCTCCCCCACACATTTCGGTACATCATCTTCAGTGGACACAGACAGTGTAAACACCATAATTTCTTTTTCTTATTTTGGGAATTGCGACAAAAACTGTCCAGAACATTCGGCGGTTGGAGGAGAGATAACGAAACTAGTTTTTGTGCATGACAATGAGCCCACTGATGTTCCCTACTGGGTTGAGGAGGAACACCCTCTCCTCCGCAGAAGTTCCCGCTGGGTATCCCAATAAAAATAGCAATTATATACATCGAAAAATAGAAAGCGCACGGGTGCGATTTCCGAGGAAGATTGGAACTAGGTCGCATTCTCATGGATGTTTTTGGCGGATAGCGGATTTGGTGCAAATCCCATATTATGAAACTGGTAAAAGCTCTAAGCCTACACTTTCTTTAAAGTCATGTATTGAGTATTGAATATTGAGTATTATGGAATAATTTCAGGTGTGTAGTGGCAAGTAGATTGAAATTAGAAATTGCCTAGTCCTTGGGCATTCTTTCTTGCCCTGTTGTCTGTAAAAAAGTCTATGGTCAAGGGGTGGAGTGGTCTCAGTCTCTGTGACTTCGCAGCGCACAACAGGGTCCCATGTTTGCATGTTTGATAGGAATGCAAATCTCAATGAAAGGCTTTACCATTAAATGCAATGAACTATCATTGACAGGAAAGTATGTAAGTGAAAAAAGAAAGTTATAAGTTATTGTTGCTGTGTAAATATATCTTTTTGATGAATGTATTTCTTTGATATTATAAAAAAAAATGCTTCAGTGATTTCCTGGACTCTAGAAAGTTCAGGGGCCAGGTTCAGTAAGCCTTATCAGTAACTTATTCTCATCTTCCATAGGCTAGGATGTAATCTGTGTTAACATTAAGGAGATGCTAGCCCCTTTATCCTCTCTTGAGATGTGAAGACACATGAACTGTTACTGCAGGCAGCCCATTTCCTCATTTTGAGATAATTTACTGATGCTGGCTGCTACTAATAGTCGACAGACTGTACTGACCATATAAAGTTATTTAGCAACTAAATTTCGCCAAGACTTCACCGGTACGTTTACTTTTGGTGAATATGGGAAGTTTTGAATGGTAACTTCTAGCCCTGTGCCAGGCTCTCTGTCAGTGTAGACGGGCGAAACAAGCGAGTGAGCAGCAAAAAACACCCTTTGTGAGATTTTTTGTGAATAAAATTGTTGATGCCCACAATTGTACCGGTTGATGAACAACTTGAATAGCAAGAAAAATACCTCATGCAAAAGAACACCTCTCTTCAAAATCAAGACAAATGTTAGAATTTAATTAAAAAAAAAACACTGAAAACGCTGAAGGAGTTATATTTTATCATACTAGAAGATCTCGTCCATAGACTTGTAAGTGATAGAACAAAATGAAATGTCTCCATAACAATATATTAGTTGACGTTCAGTAGAACTATAAGCTTAACTCTTTCATGAACCATCATGACCTCCAACAGTAATACACCATCATCCATGCCTTATCACCAGAAGCAACTTGACAGACATTAGGGGGCTCCATTCAAATAGCTCAAGTCTACATGGCAGAAACGCTAACTTGGTATGTTCATAACTAAGAAAAAGCCCTTAGTCAATACCATTGCAATTCTTTTTTGCGTTTCACACTGTCAGAGCTGACATTGAAGTAAATATAAATTTGTGTGTTTGGATCTTTTGTAATTTTAGCATGCGTAGTTTCCAAAACTATTAAGGTGATCTTAAAGATAACGAAACGTCCAAATAGTACTTATTTAACCCTACAGTAAATCTTTAAAATTAAGCTGGAGCCTTAATTATCGTCTCCTCCATGTTTCCTACATTATATGGTGTGTAGGAAAGATGAAAGAGACTAAACTCCGTGTGCATGTTAAGGACAACAAAAACTCGCCACATGGTAAGTTTCATCAAAAATCCGTGAAACAGAATCGAAAACTTCTTCAAATTGCGTATACTACCCTTTTTATGCTCTTATCTTCACAATAGGCTTCAGAAAAGGCGACACGCGGCGTGTCGCCTTTTCTCGCGTGGGGTGATTTTCACGAGCGCTCGCGTTTCGCTCGCCCTACTATCCCTGAGGAAAAATGGGGGACTACTCGTAGTCTAAGCGGTGATGAGCCAGCAAATATTCCGAAAGACAGAGACAGCGATAAAGAAGAGAAAGAACGGCAAGAACGAAGCTTAAGCGAATCGGGCGAAACGACATTGATGGGAACTAAGCTTTGATATGAAGAAAGCCTACCATAAAAATGGTGTTAAAGTTGATTTCGAGTCGTCCGCGCATTTTACAAAATGTTTCTCCCAATAGTCCCATGTCCCCACTTTTTTAAAGCAAGGGGACACCTGTCCCACTTTGGACAATTTCTAGAATGAACACTGTAATGTTATAACTTGAAGTTAGTTCAGACACCGGCCTTTTCGATTCGAGAGGGGATGCCTTAATTTCAGGGCAGGAGATCTTCAGTCTAACGTTGTATTTCTCGTGATTTTTTGCCAGCGAGAACTGGATGTAATTGAACCGAACCAGTTTTGTTATTTTGTACAAAATAAAAGGTTTTAGAGAGAAACTTGTGTGAGTGAATAGTTTCCACATTTTCATGTTTGTTGATCAGTTGTTACTCGTGGATGTGTTTTCTCAGCTGTACTATCTAACTTATGCCAAAAACCAACCACAAAGGCGGACATCCGTTATAAATCGTTAAAATCATGAAAAATCAATAATATTGATTTGACACAGCAATTCAGTTAATCTTTTTTCACCGATTCACTTGATTGCTAGCGGTTTTTATCAGTTGACTACTCCGGGTTTATTTTTTTCTTCTCCCCTTATCTCGAACGTCACGCTCGTTTCGCGCGTCGCGCAAAAGTGCCGCGTTTGCCTCGCTTGGCTCCTAAAGCGCCTGTTAAGCAGGCTAGTGCTGTGCGAGATGATCAGCTAGTCGGGGTCGGCGTAAGGGAAGGGCCCAGGGGAGCCTTGGTCCTTCCACTTTTTTTTGCGAAATAAAAACAACAAAAACAATGAAGATAATGATATACCGAAGTTTCTTTCTGAATAGGTTTCTCATGCTAGAATAAGGACGACCTTGTTTTTCGCTCCTCTAATGGTTGTGGATGAAAGGATGCAAAACTTATCGTATACAGTGACACAGAAGATGAGAACTGCGTTGTAAAATCCCGATTTTCCATCTTATTTCCACTGCCAAGTTTTGCCTCTGTAAACTACTCGGAATTTTTTTTGCGCAAGAGTGAGTGAGGTGCCAAAAACAGAAAGCTGAGGCGATGGGTGGCTTCATAACATCGACCTTACAGACCCTACGGTAACGCCGCATAAACACTGGGGATAAATACTGAACCGGCTTCCCTGACTTCGTCTTTTTTCAATGAACTATGACAAATGATGGTCACCCAACCAGGGGCCTGTTTATGTGAGATGAGCGAACCCGGTTAGCCTGGCTGGCTCATCACGTCAAAGCTCCTCACTTCCTTGAAAACAGCAGCCCCCTTACTTGATAGATTGCGCGCTTGGCCGCGAGGAAATACCGATTTTGAGTCTAGGCAACAAGTTTTTTAAAAGTTTTGTCATAACTTTTACCACTCACTATCATTATAGAAAAGGAAGGAAGGAAAAGTAAAATTGGTCGGCCCATAGGAAACACACTTTTTTGCCATAGGGAAAGCAGGAGAAATCGTTTTAATTAAAAGCCGGGGTGGTATGATTGTGTGCAAAGCTTAGGGCCTCTTCAAATGCACGGCGGATTCCGAGATCTCGCATTACGTAAATCCTTTGTAAAATTTTCGATGTGTTCATATGAGAAGGCGGGTTGACTCGGTTTTTCCAAGCGGGATCTCGGTAAGTGGGCCAGAAATGAAAACCGGGATGAAAACGGGATGCATTCTTGCAGTCCGGATGGCATCGTCTCGCATTGCCTGTGGTATTTTCCACATGATAAGCATCCCATTGACTGCAGCGATACAGTTTTACGAATTGCTGGCGCCAAAAGTTATCATTTTTGTGTCTCGCCATGTTAGCTCCGTTTCTCGAATTTCGCGCCAGAACTCGTCCCAGGATCGTTGGCCTTTTTTTTCATCTCGGAAACTGGCCTGGAATTTCTCATATGAACCCAAGGAGAAATTGGTTCCGGTAACCGGGCCAGCCTTTTCAACCGGGCTCATGTGAAGAGGCTGTTCGGCGACTTTGAAAGAAACAGTAATTTAGCTTTTTTTTTTCATATAAATGATTGTATTATTCGAAGATGTTTATTTAATTTGTCCTTTCTCTAAAATTAAGTGCTAAATTGCTTTTCTGTTACTTGGTATGCCTTAATAAGCAGAAATTGTAAAGAAGTGGCCATGCACTATGTCACGTAATATCATATTATTACAATTTTAAAAATATTTCTAAAAAGAAAATTGAAATCCAGATGTTAAATGTATGTGGTGATGTATATGTTGAGCATTAAATAAATTTAAAATCAGCTGATCTTGTCATTTGGATTATAAACAAACACTGTCTAGAGATCCCATTGCTTTAGGGTGGCTGGGGGGTTGGTGTAGTGCCAATATGCTTCTTGCTCTGTTTGTTTGTTTTCTGTAGATTTCTGTAGATTGGGGTTTATTAATTTTGTTTACCAAATAAACACCTTTTTAACACAGTTTTAACTGCAGTGCAGATATTCGTTATCTCTTCCTTTTGTTTTCTTCTTGTGGAAACCTCGGAGTTTGTTCGCACTATGATCACAAACAAAGGTACTGTCTCAGACGTTCGTATACAATAATGCAGAAATAAACCCCGAAAATGGTTTGCCACTTTTTGGAACCTCTTCTATATAACAGCCGCCACAATAGTCAAACGATAATCTCTTTTCACTCTGACCTGACGAATCTCTAGTAGAACTCCTCCCGTGAACATAACACTCCTTTGAGCGACTGGACGTTTCCAATACTACAATGGTATAACATGTTCGGGCCCCGGGGGGGGGGTACTCGCAGAAAAATTGGGTAGGGGTGTGCGGCCCGCTTCCCAAAACCCTTACCCTATTTATGACCAAAATCTGCGATTTTCCCTACCCTATTTATGACCTAACCAAAAATTTGATATCCTATTTTGTGAAGGGCTTTTGTTGCTTGTATTTTCTAGCCTACAAAGGAAGTAGCTTCTTCTAAAAAAGTGCATTCAAGACTACAGTGCAAAAATCGTTACCCTATTTATGACCAAAATGGCGGCAAAATAGCCAAAATCGATACCCAATTTATGACCAAAACGGCTGAAAAACCCTACCCTTTGGGGCCGCACATACCTATATAGCCCATATTAGGGAGTACCCCCCCCGGGGTTCGAGCCCTCACTCGAATGGGCCTATTAAAAAACACGTTTGTGCCTTGATTGTTGAAGGATTTAGGGTAGGTTAAGTTACAGTCATAATGATCACGATGTTGTGCATTTAATTCTTTGATTTTCTCGCCTCTGCATAAAACTGATAGGCAGATACTTCGTAGATTATCATCGTTGGCAAAAAGGAATTCTAAACCGCATAAAAATACGCCTTCACTCACTGCAAAGGTAAGCTTCATGTCTGTGAACGGACTAAATCTAAACGTTCTTGTGAAGCCCAACATCGGATAACAACGAACGGGAGCAATGCCCGGCGGTTTCTTTGACTTCGAATTCCGTGAAGGAGCTTTGAATTTTATTCCACCTTTCACTGGAACGTCGCTGAAATATCTGAACACGTCAATAACCTCATCCTTTGTTAGGATCTCCTTTGGTAGCACAACCGCTGAAAATTCTCTTGGCTGCATTTGGGGAAATGCAAAATGTCTCAACAAATCCTCTCCAAGTACATCCCGTTTTCTCTCTCCATCGGCAACCACACCTGCTTCTTCACACCTCTTGGCGGCCCATCGATCTACAGCTTGGAACAACGTTGTCTCGGCGATGCGTAACGATGATCGTTGAACAAAGGAGAACAGCAAATCGTATTTAACATTGAGAAACGAATCGCTTGTAGCAATTGCAATGGCGTTGTATTGAATCACCTCCCAGCAAGCCCGCTCGAGACCTTCGTCATTAAATTGGCGAGCTAACGTTAAGAGATCAAAAGCACTCCTTGGATCCATTTCTCCATCTAAATACTTGACGATTTCGCTTGTAAGAGAAGGAACGTCGTACTTGTCAGCAAGAAGCATCAATTTAACAGCACTGTCTGTGTCTTTAAAAATCGCTTCATCGCAATATATGTAACGCAAAAAGCTGAGAAAAGTATCTGGATCACAGTCAATGATGTCAATATAGTATCCTTGGTCTCAGCAAAATCACCGTAAAACATAGCAAAGAAGACAGAGCTGCTGACAGCGAGAACGTATTTATGCGCTGGAATGATCGTGTCGTTGCCAGGAAAGGAAAACTTGATGTCACTCAAAAGAGGATTGTTGAACATGTACTTGTTCCTTTCTGCTACCGTACCTCTCTTTGCCTGCCACCTCTCCGCCCCCTCTTTGGTGGTCATCTTAAAGTTAAGATTAGTGAAACTGGGTAATGACGAAAAGTTGTGAAGCGAAAACGAAAGAGGAACTGAATTGTGCAGACGCAATCATGAAATGTAAATAGAATTAGGCCGGGCGTGACCAGTTAGATTTGATCTTTGTTTATACTCAACGGGGGTCTAGGAAAAAGATCTTTTATGCATTCAACTCACAACCTCGTCCCTAGGTTCGCCCCTCCCATTTTCTTGAGGAAAAGCCCTGGGTTCTAGGCTAAGCACATACAATCAAACCAGGTCAAGAATTGGCTGGATAGTTTTTCGTCAAGAACGAAGAAACGGTCTATAGAAATGTTTTATCATTGAAATCTCCCTACACAACCCCGTTTCCTCGAAAATAACATAATTTTTTTCACCCCCTCTTCCGTATAAATAGTTTCCAGCATTGACCAACGAGTTCTTTGATGGGTGGATGCAGTTCACACGTAGTTCCGCAACTTGCAACAGAAAAATGCTGAAAAAAAGAAAGAGGAAGGAATAAAGAAAAAGAAAGCGAAAAAAGATAAGATAACGCGCCAAACAAATATGAACGGTGAACGATAAAATGGCCGGAAACGAGATGGGTGACTTCATTTATTAGCCGGTGAGCAAGCTCCCCAGGGCGCTCTGGCGGCGGGGCAGGAAAAGAAAGGAGAGCTTGCAACAACTAGAGTTGAATAAAAAGAATTCGTCCAAAACTTGGAAGCTAATTAACGAACTGAGCTCGCGTAAATCTTGCACAAACCGCAATATCACTGAAATTAAAACAGATAACGAAACTATAAATTCTGCGCCTGAAATTGCAGAAGCTTTCAATAACTTTTTCACCTCTATTGGACCAAATCTAGCCAGTAAATTATCACCTTCTAATATCGACCCTGAAAGTTATTTACAACCCACTAAAACAGCCTTCTCCTTAAGGGCTCTTAGTGTCACAACTGTGTGTGAACTACTAAGTGAGCTTGACGAAAAGAAAGCCATGGGATTGGACGGAGTTCCTTGTAAACTTCTGAAATTAGCCAGTTCCATTATTGGACCATCATTAACGAAAATTTTTAATAGCTGTATAGAAACAGAAACCTTTCCAGATGAATGGAAAATCGCCAAGGTGACTCCTATCTTTAAAAAAGGATCAAAATCTGACCTGAATAACTATAGACCAATTTCTGTATTGCCAATTGTCTCAAAGCTATTCGAGAAAATTATCTATCAACAACTCTATGATTACCTAGATAAAAACAAACATTTGAATACTTATCAATCCGGCTTTCGATCGCTCCATAGCACCATGACGGCGCTACTTGAATCAACGAACAACTGGTCTATTAACATAGATAACGGCCTTTTAAATGGTGTGGTATATATCGACCTTAAAAAGGCTTTTGACACCATTGACCATGCAATTTTGTTACATAAACTTGCAAACTATGGACTTGATCTGGGTTCCCTACGATTCTTTGCCTCCTACCTAGGTAACAGGAGCCAGAAATGTTATGTTAATGGCGTATTGTCCAGTGCAAGCGAACTAAGATGCGGAGTCCCACAGGGTAGTATTCTCGGTCCTTTGTTCTTCTTAATCTATATAAACGATCTTCCAAACTGCCTTAATTCAGCATGCGCTAAAATGTTCGCAGATGATACAACTATTACCATTTATGGTTCCTCTCTAGCTGACCTTGAACAAGAGACTAACTTAGAACTACTGAACCTTCACTGTTGGCTAAAAGCCAATAAGCTTAGTCTTAATGTTGCGAAAACCGAGTTTATGGTTATTGGCTCTCGCCAGAAGCTTCTCGCGGAAAGCCATAACGAAATAAACATCAAACTAGAAGACCAAGTTATCAGCAATGTTGATCACGCAAAATCATTAGGTCTCATTATTGACAATCGGCTTTCCTGGTCTAATCATGTTAACGAATTGTGTAAGAAGGTAACTTCGGCTATAGGTGCCCTTAGACGTATTAGGCCCCTTATCTCCCAATCTACTGCGGTACTAGTCTATAACTCCTTAATTCAACCTCACTTTGATTACTGTAGCCTTGTTTGGGATGGCTTAAGTGATCAACTGAGTGACAAATTACAAAAGTTACAGAACCGTGCAGCTAGAGTAATTTTAAAGGCCAACTATGGGACTAGCTCGAGCCTGCTTCTTGATATACTCAAATGGGACAAATTAGTTATAAGGAGAAAGAAGCATAAAGCAATAATGATGTTTAAATCTCTAAATGAACAAGCTCCAGTGTACTTGCAGAACCTATTTCACGAACGAAGCACAGACTATGATTTGCGCAATTCCTTTCATAAATTGACGTTGCCCAGGCCGCGTACTAACTACTTGAAACGAAGTTTCAGTTACAGCGGTGCTTTGTTGTGGAACTCTTTACCCGAAAATGTGAGAGAAACTAAATCAGTCAGGAAATTTAAAGAGCAAATCAAACATGTATTTGAGTCGTCGGACTCTCACTCGGCAGTCTTGTAAAACAGTATGTCGATAGTTTTTAGTCTAATTAATTGTGATTAGATTTTTACTCTATTATTACTGAAGATTTTACCGAGTTTTAAATAAAAAATCTACCTACCTACCTACCTACCTACCTACCTACCTACGTCTTTGGAATTTGGACATCTGCATCGAAAAAGTCGATGCGAAATGCTGATTGGCGGAGATGACATTTGCAGCTCGCCATGGCGTAGCAATTTAAAAGTGTTTCCGTGTGAAAACCGCGCGAGAAATGGAGCTCGTTCCATTTTTTGCCGAACCAAAACCGAAAAGCCCGTTCCCCGGTCTTTCTTAGTCTGTGTACTAGCCTGGCTCTCAGATAGTGGGGAGACGCGAAAGTAAAAGGCACGCGAAAAGTTGTTCGCGCTTTCTCAATTCAGCGGGCCCAACTATCTCGGAGCCTGGAACAGGCTATCTGTGTACAGACGCCCCTTTCCCTGTTAGGCAAGGGGCGTCTAGGTCTCTTTCTTTACTTCAAAACCGCATGGAAACTATTGCAACGCAGGCTAGGCGACGGTCAGTTAAAACGAGTAACAAACATACACTTCTCAATTGAAACTACTGCGGTAATGTTCACAAAAGGGAACGTACGAAAGTAGCCTAACACGCTGCGTTTTATTGGCAATAAACTAATTCCTATCAGCCAATAAGCTTCCACAATTTCGTACAAATGCATGTGTTTACTGTTTTTTTTTTGAGTAGCTGGCGCGTTCTGGGGCAAAACAGTTCGTTAATAAATCAAGAAAAAAAATAGGGGCATAAAAATAGGGCATTAAAGAAAGACAACAACAACATTTTAAGAGAAAAAAAAAGTAGGTAAGTGCTTTACCGCAGTATTACCAAGAAGAAGCTGAATAATTGAGTACAATGGCCTGGTCCTTGTTGAAAAATAGAGCGTCTAACACTATTCCCAGCGGATACGCGCAATAAACATTAATCATGCTCACTAAAAAAAAGTGGTTTTGAAAGGTTAGAAGGAAAATAACATGCCTTACGTGAAAAAAAAAACAAAAACAAAAAGAAAATAAAAGAGCCTGATTGTGCCTTGTGTATCTCAAATAAACAACGCTGGAGGAGAGGGACGTTCATTTGGAATTAAAAACTTGCATTTAATCCCGGGGGGGCACTCAAGGGAAGTCTGGGTGGAGCTGTGCCGTTGAAAGCTTCAAACATCGACCCTGTTTAATTAGACAAAAATTGCTCATTTCGCTACCCTGTTTAAGACAGGAGACACTACTTTCTGACCCTGATTTGTTTTGTTTTGCATACAGAATTAAGTATAAAATCGTGGAAACAGATATTGAGGAAAAAAATTATTAGTATTACAAATGTAGGCCGCTCACCGCAAGTCTTCGCTCTCTTTGAAAGGCTTCCAGTCCAAAAAGACACACTGTTCAAGTCGCTTAATGGTGAAATTGTAAACCATACCCTGTTCAGCGGCACATACCCCTATAGGCCAAATAAGGGAGTGCCCCCCCGGGCATTTAATTACACTTGTGGGACATGACCTCTTTAGAAGCTGTTATCCATTACTTGTTTTCAATTCCACTCATGCATGCGAAAATATAACAAGTATTCGCATGGGCGCGCATTGTGACCTCTTAGACCGCGTCTATCATATGCTTAACGTATGCTTATGCGCATTTTAAAGAGCTAATTTGGCGAGTTTGTTTCGACTTCCCCCCAGAAGAGCAGCGTCACTTTGTAGACTCACAGTTTAGGGACGGATTTAGCCAAATTACTGAAATTATGGGGTCTTGTATGAGCTTGATATGCCAGTGTCACTTGTGTCGCTGCTGTGAATGTGGCCCAGGCTGTTATTGTTGTCGCTGTTGTAAGCGGTGGTTTGGCGACTGGTGGATGTGCAGCGACTGCTGCGATGAATTTGAGGATGAAGAATATTCTCCTGTAAATCCGAAGACGGCTGACAGAGGACCGCCTGAAGATGGGGAAGGCATGTATAAATACCCAAATGGAGACGTTTATGTGGGCGAATGGCGGCGAGGAAAAAGACACGGATATGGTGAACTCGTCAAAAAAGATGGCACACAGTAAGTTAAGCTTTTATCCGGCCCTTATCCAGCCTTTTAATTTAAGCTCGTTTACTGTTATCAAGAGAGGATATATCATCGATTTCCATATCTTGACAGATGCCGCAAAATTTTCATGTTTCAAATCAAAGTATCTGAAGAACCTATCAGAATTCCCATCACATATGTCCTGCTCAGCCAAGATATAATAATTAATATTTAAAAAAACAACAACTTAAAAATTTAAAAAATCGTTGCTCTGCCAGGTTCTGGCGACTTAACGTCATTGTTAACCAAAATTTCTATTAACCCACTACTTACAGCTTATCAAGTCTTACAATCGAAAAACTGATGGAATTGCGTCCGAAAGTTTGAATCTAAAAACCTGTCAACCCTAGCTAAAAAGATGAAGTAAATACTTAAATCGAAAACTTGTACCTAATATTCTCTTCAGCGAAAAGTAGTGTGAAAATTGAAATAAGTGCTGTATAAAGAAAAACTGATCAGTAGAATTTTGAAATATTGGGCTCTAGCTGCTTAATACAAATTTATTCAGTCGGCAGTTTTAAACAACTATTTATATTGAATGCATTGGTGGACTTGTTGAGATAGAGAGGCAACGGTATTCTATATTTCGCCCATCCTTATGTTTCTAAAAAGTGTTCAAGCAGTAAACTTGCCGTTGTTCAAGATGTTTCAGACACAAATTTAAATCGGGTAATTAACTGCATTCGCCCATCAAATTCAACGTATTTCGAATCAAGTTGTTTTTTCTTTTATTCGTTGTTTATGTGTGAAGCAAGCTTTAATCACCACGGGGTTACTAAATGAACTTTCTATAAATAAATGTCTCCAAAACTGCATTTGATTTAAAACATTTAAACGATGTGCGGACATTTTGCTTTGTTCTTTAACTCGAAGATCGCTTCACTTTACTGGAATAGTGAAGCCATAAAGAAGAAATAGAAAAAAAAGAAACTTACTGGAAGATATTAGCGGATTTTTTCATAGTTGTTCGGGTGACTGTCTGGCCCTAAATTTATTGGGAGCATGCCCAAAACATCGGTTGTTTTTAAGACGGTTTTTAAAACAGATTTACTCCTTTTCAAAAGGAGGATTTAAATTATTTCTTGATAAGAAAGAAAACACTAAATTGAATGAAGCTCACAGAAAAATGTTTTTGTTGGAGGAACAAGACTTTATCTAATGTCGACGGAAATAGTCGATTATTAATCGACCAATATTTATGTATTCCCTGGATATTCAGATCACAACGAGAATTTGCAATTCAAGCCGTTCATATGTAGGTCTCGCTTTACGTAAGCTCAGAACGGTTTTATATCTCATTAAAGCCCATGAAGAACGCAGAAACTTTTTAAAACTATTTGTTCCTTCTAAAAGCCACCGTCATATAAACATGAAGTGAATAACTGAGAAATTGATCAACTTCTAGAGCGTTCTAACCATACGCAATTGAAAAGTCCAAGCCCGAGCCTTAGTCATGTTACAGTATTATAAAAATCGAGAATTATCTGATGGTTTATTTTAGTTCCTTGAAAGTAACCGTCTCATATTTCAGTGGATATTATTTGGCCCAAGATCAAGAGGGAATGAAAACGTCAACAGAAAGCTTTGGAAAATAATGTTGAGTAATCTATACGGCATTGCACCACAGTCTTTCAGCAACTGAGGGTGCCTAAAATGTAAAAGAACTAAAAACACAAATTCTATTTTGTAAGATAATTGAAGAACTGAATCTTCGTGGAAAAGCATTTTCTGCTCCCGCAGCCCCAGCCACCACTTTGTGTTGCCATAACCATGGCAACACAGAATCTTCATTTATATTTTTTAATTATTGAGTTGATTTTTTCTACGGTGACCACTCTTTGGCTTTTCGCTTTTTCAGGTTTGTATATTTGTCATGAGGTTGACTCGATATTTACAAAACTAAATAAACAAAGCATGTGTAATCGCTAAAAGCATAAGTGGAATAAAAAAGAAAAGGATCATATTACAAGAGGAACGTCAGTTCTTAGTTTTACGGACGTTTTATGTTCAACATCAGTTTTACCAACTGTGACAAGCTTTTATCGTTTTCATTTCGGTGTCATGAAAATCTGTTAGACTCTATGTAAATCATGCTGTTGTTCATCTTCTTAAAGTGATTAAACAGCTTTGTAGTAAGGAAAAATTATAATATTCTAGATTTGTTTAGGCCTACCGCTGTGACTACTCCAATGGTCCTCTAATTCGTGTATCTAAAAAATCACAGATCAATACATATTTTTTTGAAATTTGTCTGGAGGATTCTAAAGTTCAAAATGTTGATATTGACGGATATTGATAATTCTTGTATGGTCTTCTGAAATGAATTCGATCAATTTAAGTTTCCGACGAGCAGTACGTGTACGTCAACCACGCCTTCATTGAAGACTATCTTAGTATTGCAATTGCCGTCAAGTGAAAACGAATCACCTCAATGGCATGGTGTCGTTTAGGACAAAGGGAGAGATTATATTCATTCAGAGTAATTTATTTCGCAACCTTCCCAGACGGACACCTCGCTAAGATGGTGGACACCTAGAGTTGGTCCCTACCTTTCTTTACTGGCTTTGTTCTCTATAAGACGGACATCTCTCTAAGAACGACACATAGTGCTGTCCCAAAGGTGCACGTTTTAGAGGGAGTTGACTTTACTGCAATTAATTGATTCAGAAGTAGTATGCCTCTCGCTATCCACAGATGCGTGTAGTGCTATCGCGATAAGTTATTTTCCTCGGTCTTAGAAATTGCCTCGACGGTAACGAAAAGAATATTATCTTAAGTTGAAAGACCAGTTTAATTAGAGAGGGATTGCGTAGAAGGACCGAAATAACTGTGTTTAATGTATTTAAACATTACAGTTACATGAGTAGTGTTACTGCATGGCTGGCCTCGGGCGCTTACAGCTTGCTTTTGAACTCCATGTTAGCAAGAGAGTGCCCTTCTTTGTCCGCTCCCCACTCTCCCCTCCCTAAGCACAATTTTCCTGCGCCTGCACCTTTGTGTACCTTGCAGTTGGAGCGATAGGGCACCTATGTCTCCCAAGAAGATTCTGAATGTTGACTTGTCTGATTTGCTCAAGTGTACAGAATTTTTTCATAGATTTTTAAAATAAGAACCTGTTTCAAATTTTAGGCCAAACAGGTTCTTTTATAGAGGGGGCTTAAATGGCAAATTTCAGCCCAACAGGTTCTTAAAATTCAGGTTCTTATTTACGGGGTTTTACTGTACGGTTTTCTTTCTACCGCATCCTGTGCCAAGATTCAGTTATCGAACACGCGTCCCAACTAGCGGTCAAATCCCGTATCCCGTATCCCGTGAAGAAAAAAGCCCTTCCCGACCCTGAAAGTTCATTTTAATACTTTTTATTCCCTAGGACAGTTGGATTCTTCTACGATGACGAATATGTTGGTGAAAAACCAGACGAAAGACTCAAGAGAAGCCCCGTGACGTCGCGGCCATTTAGCAAGAGTCAATCTAGTTACACTAACGATACAGAGTATGTAGCATCAGTTTTGTTTGGTCACGTTTAGGCATTTTTGTCAAGTGACAAACTAAACTCATCAATCAATTTTAATGGGCGATTATGGTACCCCGGGGATGAATTTAGTTATGATTATTCGATATACAAGATACTCGTGGACGCCCTGCGCTAGCAGAAGCTTCCTTTTACTTGCTTGATTGTAGCGCACTCGAGAAAGACTCTGCATGAGTCTTTGTTGAGCATGTGCGCTTGTTGCTGGGATACAGTCTCGAACCCAGGCCGTAATAGCCGTGCGCTTGGTACAGCGGGCCCATGTGACTATCGCTTAATCAATAAACGGATACTTGCGCTCAGAAAACCGTGGCCAGCTTGACGACAGAGAACAAGATTGAATAGTCCAGAAGTTCGGACTTCGGTGACGTCAAAAGACTTGACGCCATTCAGGTAGAGCATCGTTTTCACCTCCTCACTCAAGAAGACAGATTCAGAGTAGCGGGTGTTCCAGGTTCCGAGATAGTCGAGACCGCGAAATTGAGAGAGCGCAAAGGCCCCCACCCCTCTTTCCCATATCGCGGGCTCGTATTTTTGCGCGACTTTCACTTACGCGTTATCCCTACTGTCTAAGAGCCTGGAAAAGGCTAGATTCAGAGCTGATAGGGGTCTCCTTTACCCCTGCCTGCGAGGAAGTTGGTTCGGAGGGTTGAGGGCGGAGGGGGGTCATGCTTGCAGTTATCCCAGAGGCTCTCCAAGGTAGGCGGTCAGCGCAAAAACTGATTGGGCTCGATAATTTAATTTCACATCTAGGGTGGGAGTGGTATCATTTTAGTGCAACCTTGATCGTGCAAAACGCGTCATGCTTGATCGCTGCAGTGAAGGTTCTGACAACGCCAAGCATTGCATTTACAATTGCCTGTTTATTTTGCTAGGGGTACAAGAAAAGAGGACCAAGCAGCTATTGAGCTAGCGTGGAAAGAGGAAAAGCAACGCATCAAGTCAGAAGGAAGCGGAGGACAATCTTACTCCACCATTGACAATGGTCACGATTGACCGGTTCTTAGCTTCTACGCATGATATAATCCATAATACCCCTGAACGAAACATTTTTACTAAATCTCCGGGAGAATACTCAATTTACTTTCATTTGTTAATGAGTAAGAATGACCATTTTACATTAGTCGGCTTTGTTCGTCTGGTTAGCAATCTACTGAAGTTTACTTACAGCTGTTCATAGGCTGTTAAAAGTGGGAGAATAACGACTGTAAAGGAGGTTTAACAACGTGCTGTATTGTTTATAAATTAACTTAAGATATTTTACGCTGAAACTTTAGGGCCAAAGTGCCAGGATAGCGTCTCTTCTAAGTATCGGTATTCTGGCTTTCGCCGTAATTGTTATATCAACGAGCTGGTTTTTCTAGTCGTAGAAACTGTATTAAGAAAGGAAAGCTGTTTTATTCCATTGGATTATGTTCTCGCGCCAGTACAAAATATTTTTCTTAGGCGTGAGTTTTTGTTTAATAGGATTTTTGGACGTATTATTTGCTACATTGATGAGTTTTTCTGTTCAGGAATAGAGACCTGCATTATCTTTGTCTACACAGTTTTTGAAAGGACTACGACTTGGTACCAGGATTTTGCCCTCAGAAATGGCCCCCTCCCAATTTCTGAGGTAAAAGCCCTGGGAATGAACTTGAAACGAGGGATGCTGGGTGGAAGCCCAAACATTTATTGGAATGCGTTCTTGGCAAATTTGCCTCACTAGCAGTCGATTGAGGTGGAACGAGTCTGTTGATGTCCAGACTCAAGATAAAATAAAATTTGTAATATTATCCTACTTTCGAATAGCATTTTTTGTCGTCGATTTTAAAGTAATTGCTCTTCTTTATATTCTACGAAACAAACGCTTTGAATGCAATTTAAAAGCGAACTTGAAGTTTTGCAGTAAACTAAACTCAGCTATCTGCAATCAAGGAATTAAAGATTGAAACTTTGTCTTTCGCTATTTATTTAGACTTGCAAGGAAAATCCGAATGCAATTCGTTATCCAGAAACTTTTTCTGTAAGTGATCTGTATATAAAAGATCAATTCGAGAACCAGTAATGCTACAGGTAATGAAAATATTTTTTGGTGAAATAAAGTTAACTCAATAAACACGTGCCCATTATGTCCGGTTTAATTTTCTTTTATTATATGGCGGTTTCTGTGAGCGGGTAGACAAAGCGAATCTGGTAAAAGTGACGGGGGTGCTCGTCGGAAAATTTCGATAACCCCCCTAAACCAGAATCTTGTTTTATGGGCGTGTCCCAAACTAATTTCCATCCCTAAGAGGTACCAATTAATCAACTACATATTATATATCTGGCACTGCAAATTTTAACAGTAATAAAGATAGCTTTGAACACTTCTTTTCAAGGACTTTTTGAAAGTATTGTCATAAATTTTTATCCGAATAAAGCGTATCAGCACTCATTTTAGGTTTAAGTACCCTAAGCGGTACCTCCACCAATTTATACCCCTAAAAGGTACGACGAGCACCCCTGTCACTTTTATTGGAGTAGCCCTCCGGGATCTGGTGTTCTGTGTGGATACTCGAGCGGGATTCTTCACGGTTGTCTCGCAAGAGAAAATTCTCTTGGTCATCTAAAATCCTTTATCAACCAAGCTGGATATTGGCCTCGCTTTTTTTTAACGTTTTTATTGACCTTGACTTCGACTCGGTACCTCACCTTAGGATCACACCGCGAACACAATTTCAGGATAGAAACCTTCAAAAAGCATACCATATACCATTATGCGGGAGCAACCCCCTCCTCCCCCCCACCATAAAATTATATAATAATATCAACCCCTTATTTCCCCTCCCAAAAGCAATCGTGAAAAGCTGACCATTTTACAGGGAACTCTGCAGTTCTGGACTGCTTTTAATTTCCCGGTATTCTACGTTTCTCTTCAGACATTATCACCAATATCTGCTTTTTTCGTAATCAACCAAGCAACTCGTTTTACTTCTTTCAAAAGATAGAACCTCCTCGAGCATTCTCAGGCCTACTTTTACCGCCGCTACTTGACGCGCGTCAAGCATGACCTCGAACACTATACGCAGCTATGGTAATCTGCCAATCGTATCATAAGCAGTGCCTTTTGTCAGGATATGTCCAAACAAAAGAGCTTACTCGTTCTTCCCCGTAATCGTGTTCAAGGCTTCATAAACTGACAGGCAACAAAACCCATGTGGATTACATTGAACATTGGTTTTCAGCTCGTTAGCAATGACGCCCACCCAGCTAGACTATCAGAAGATCCGATATACTCCTTATTTCAAAATGAGAGCGATATTACTATTCTTTTATATTTATGTTAATTAGCCCTCTTTACCTCGGTTATATCTGCCGAATTCAATTGAACCGCTTCCTTGGAACGAGATATTGAGGGCTAATTATCATGAAGACAAAAAATAACTTAATTTGCCACCATTTTGGAAGTACTGCGTATTGTTTAGCGCACTCCGAGTGATGGTAATTTAATCTGCGCACAGGTTAAGGGAAACTGACGTTCTATAAACAACGGAAAAAAGTCAATACCAAGCGAAAATCGCACTGCTATTTGCGATAGCAAGAAATTCCTGTCAAAACTGCTATATCACCCACAGCGATTTCAAGGGGTAAGTCGACTTATTTGTCATTTCAAGTATTAAAATCGTAATGGTCCTTACCAGAGAACTATCATACAAACAAATAGCAAATAGCTTTGGAACTTAGACAACTGACAACTGCCCTACTCAAACTAATAAGGCAGGAAACAGCTGAAAGATCGGCTCTATTAGACAGTCTACTCGCTCTCTGGGTGGATCAGGAACTCTGGGTAGATTCAGCAGACCTTCCCGATAAAATTGTTATTATTGTTTGAGCTTGCATTAAAACAATAAAAAATTCCAACAAGTGGCGTTGGGTAAAACGATGACTGGACCCATGGACTATTGGACCATCGGATTATTTTAAAATCAATTTTGGGCTATATTTTTTATCCACTTGGGGGTCGATCTTTCTCTAGAAGGGGTAAAGGTAGGTGGTGAGAGGGAAAGATGAAGTGGTAATGTACCTATCAATGTTAAGCTGCAGGGGGGGGAGGCCGGGCATAGGCGGGGGATTTGAACTCAGATCATTTTTTCTGTTCAAATGCCCGACCCCAGGGACGTTATTGCTGGTCAAAAGAGTGCAAATTCCCCATCCCCCTCCCCTTCCAGAAAAAGGTCAAGGCATTGGTCAAACAAGAATTAAAATAGGGATATACAGGAATTATAAAGTTGTAAAAAGCAAGAAGCAACAACTTCAAAATGTAACGTCCGTTTAATAGAAAAATGTCATGTAATTTATCTGGAAAGTATATAAAAATTTGAAGACTGTCTCAACTGATACTATTGAACAATACAGCAAAACAAGGAAATTCTGGTATCTTATCATGAATTGTTATGCTACAGATAACTTTTATTTGAATTGACATCCGGTTATAACTCATGGCCATTATTCATATTTACATCACCAAGTAAGACTAGTTTATTTCAACTTCAGTCCGTAACACTTTACTGATTTTTAATAGTACCAACAGACCTATGTCCTAAAGTAACTAAAAAATGGAACTGCATACTTTGTAAACAAACCAAGATGTGACATTTTGACTGGGTGATGTAATTATCTATACTGGCTTTTACATTTAATTACTTTAATTGTAAACAGGAACGATGGAAATGAAATATTTATAACCTCTGATTTGAAATAGATAAAGCTTACAGCATGCTTTTCCTTGACTGCAGCCTGGTCAACACGAACATGTACTCGTAATTTTGCTCTGTCTTTAATGTGATCCACGTACGTCCTCGACATCGACCCAATCATTCCACTCTTCTTCATACTCTTGAAGGAACAAATCGCTGCTAGCATTTATGGCAAACATACTTTTTATTTTTGAAATCACTTCATTCATATCATCAGGTTCTTTGATATCAAACACCTTTCGGCTATCGCCAAACTGAAGAAGGACCTGAAAAAGTAGTTCCATGTGATCAACCACGCATGAATTAACATCTCATAAATATGTATTAAACAATTGTATTAAAAAACAAAAAGAATATCGCAATATAATCAATCATGGCACTGATGACATAACAAAACGCAAAAAACGGCCCGATGGGCTCTTTAAGCGACAAAATTTCACAGATTTCTTACCTTCTTCACGGAAACCGAAGCAGCCTCCATTTTGATGTCTGTTGGTTACCAGGTCTCAGTGCGCCGAAAATCCAAGATGGCGTCGGAGGAGCTCAGGCCACTAACGGTTAAAGTCAAAAGTCCCGACCCCCGGGACTCGACGAATGATCAAAAGTCCCTGCCACGGGCAGACTTGTTACGTCAAATCCCCCGCCTACACCCGGCCTCCCCCCGCTGCGGCTTAACATTGATAGGTGCATAATGTACTCCAGGGGAGCAAGGTGGGGTTAGACGGGGCAAACGTGTGATGTTAATGTATTGTAAATTTGGTGGTCTCGTTATTTTCATCAATATGATTTATGCTGAGTGGGCGAAACCTGCTTTGTTCCGTTTTTGACCGTTTTAAGGAGAAGGATACAGTCAGATCTCAATACTTTTCTTTTGAACATATCATCACCATTTGACACTGGTCTTGAAAATAACCTTTTTCCTCCCTCTCCCACTGGTCTTGAAAATTATCTGACCGCCTCTCCGCCCAAGAAAACATCGTTATCATCCCACCTACTTTTGCTCCTCCTCTACCCTACCTTGCTATTGCGCCCCCCTCAAGTGCTTTGGCCTCACCTTTCCCAGTTGTCCACGTTCGAAATTTGAAAATGCTAACTTGACTCTGAGGCTTTCTGGTCATTTTTCTATATTTGGTTGGGTGTCCTTTGTGCTCAAGTCTCCAGTTTTGGGAATTGCGAGACAATGGAGTCGAGAAAAATTTACAATTTTGGCCCCAAAGCCTCAGAGTCATGTTAGAATTTTAATACATCGAACGTGGGCTATTCTCCCGTCATCCACGTGACACCTTCGGCCTTACCCCATCTAGAAAAAGATCCCCCTACAACCAGGAAAAAAGGCCACAAAAGGGTCCAACGTCCGTTTTACTAAACTCAAGAAGATGGACAAATATTTGCATGACTGTTTTGTCCTCTAGCCATTTAATAGTTTAAGTTATCATGTTACATCACGCTTTCCTCAGGTCTCCTCAAACCTTCATCATGGGTGCTACTTGTGCTAAATGTTGCCTGTGTTATTGCTTTAAAATGTGTGAATTCGGAGAAGGATGTCGCTGCTGCGCATGCTGTTTAAGAAACTGTGAGCCTTTCTGTCACTGCGGGGACTGTTGTGACGTGGATGAAGATGACCTACCATTCCCAGAGGAGCAGAACGAAATAACGAGAGAAGGAGAAGACATGATTGTTTATTCAAACGGCGATAAGTATGTTGGGGAGATACGTAACAGCAAGAAGCACGGATATGGGGAGCTAACAAGGAAAGATGGCACTAGGTAAGCAAGGCTTGAAGGAATTGTTTAGATATATATCTAAGACAGAGTGATTGGTATACCCTTAGAAACAGAAATTCGTTCCATGTCACCTCAGAAGATTGCAAACGTTTTGTCACGGAAATGTGTTGAGTTAACTTATTCGGAAACCTTGAGTTAAACTAGATAAGAATAGTAACATAAGACATTTCGACAACGGCATGTAAGATGACATGATTTGTTTCATCCTTAAATGTTTGCCTAGTCTTTAGTTATTAGATTTCATCAAGAGAGAATGTCTCTCGTTTATCCCAGCCAGTGATCTCGTTATTAGGGTCGTCACGCAACGCTCCTCCCGACAAGGAAGGCCTCAGATAACAACGACCTAAACTAGGGTTGGCTGACCAGCGGTTTCGTGAAAACAAGGGTTTGTTAGGGGTGCTCAGTCTCGCAGGCTCATAAAACCTGGTCACGGCTGTTCTTATTTAACGATTTTGTCCCCACTATTTATTGGGGAGGAGCGTTGCGTGACGACCCTTATAACGGCTGCGAAGGAGGCTACATCCAGACCGGAGGCAGAGTTCAAAAATGCTTCGACGTTTATGCTTACAGCTTTCAGCAATCTTTAAACAGCACCCTCCACAATTCAAACCTTTTTTCTTCTCGGGGAAAAATTTTTATTATCACAGATCAGTTAATTTTTTTGTTGGCCCCAAAATTTTGACTCAAATTGATCATGAATGCCCGAAACAAAGTAACACTTTTTGTGACACTTACATGAGCCAGTTTGTGCTTTCTGAAATGACAGATTAAAGGGATATTTCGTCGAGGACCAGTTCTGTGAAAAGCCTATTGATGCTCAGCCTGGTAAACCTGTGGTTGAGAAAGCTTCTGACAGTGGTTGACGAACCAAGCAAGTAAGTGTTTCATGGCTTCTACCTCACTCACGTCGCCAAAATCAATCAGTCGTTTTTACTTGAGCCAAGTGGTTAAGCATCATGTTTACGTCGAACGGCAAACGCGAATTTGTACTACGTGACCAAGTTTCCTCTTTACTTGTCGCTTACTGTTCCTTATTTCTACACCTAAATTAGTTTTATCCATAAGAATTTTTTTTAACTGTTTATATCTGCTCATTTTCTATTTTGAGAATTTCTCATCTTGGATCTGACGTTTGCCGTTTTTGCCGTATACGTAAAGCTTAAACCTCTCTACTGACTAAACTCAGACACTTCTTTAAAAGATTGAATTCAGTTGTGAACAGTTTAGGAGACGCTGAATATAACGCCATGTTTTTCTCCTGTTTAACCGCAGGTCTCTCAAACAAGCTGTGCCGACGAACGACAGAAAAAAACTTTTGTCAGACACATGACACCATCTTGGCCTCTTTTTAGTTGCTAGTATTAAATCGTTGCTAAAGAAAGAACTATTTGTAGAGGCGACTTGACCTATCTGCTCTAGCATTAAGCAACCTAGCCTTGGATGTAAGTTAAACTTACATCCAAGGCCAGCTTGTTGAAAAGAAGAAGCAATTAAACTGTGCGGTCTTTGCTGCGCATATGTGACAACACAGAAGATGTAAAGTTACATCGAGTTTTTTTTGTGAATTAGTTAATTTGAGAAGATTGAATGGAGCCAAGGTCGTTCAAATCGAATAAGGACCCTGGTGGACCATATTCAGTTGTCTTTTGCTCGCTAAATAAAATCACAAATAAAAGAAAGATTATGAGCTTGTTCCTTTGCTTAAGAAAAGTCTGAGTTTAAGGTGCTGAAAGATGAACTGCCAACAAGCCATTTTTGAGTTATATATGCCAAACAATGTTACTTTCTAATCGAGGCTAAGTGCACAACATTTCTCGTGAAATGAGTTTATTTGCATGAGAATGAAAAATCGTTTTCATATCAATGGCTTCACACTTAGCCTCGCTTTGAAACCGAGGCTTGAGGCAACTACCATCCCTCTCTTTCCCAGGGCTTTCCCTACCCTTCTCTAGACGTTAGGGAGCGGCTACGGAAACGTGACTTAAAAAGTGAAGTCGCGCTACTTCAAACCTTATCACACTTATTCCACCTCGTTCAATTCGTCAAATATTGGCAATTTTTACTGGACTTAAATTTTAAAAGACTGCATCGTAGTTCAGGGAAAGAAAAAGGAAGTCGTTGTCTTGTGTTCACGTCGTCCACAAAACGTGAAATTATGCATTTTCACGTTGTGGTCGTGCAGTGGCGGCAAAGAAATGTACAAAAAAGTGTGATGCACGTGCAGAGTTGTTGTCTTGCCAAACTAAACCTATTGTCTTTTTGCCGTTCTCGTTGATGTCGCCGTCGTCGTTGCTTGTCCCTATTCTCTTATAGAGAAGCCCTGGGGCGAGGTTGCGCAAACGCGTGAACCTTTCGAATTTGGTCCTTTGTAAATACCCGACCCGAGATCGCTTTTTTATCTTCAGAGTAGTCTGTGTCACTCGTGCCATTTGTATTAGTAGAAAAAAATTTCGGCGGCGGAGCCACCAAAATTTCCCTCGAACTCGCACAAGTGAGCATGTTCTAGCCAATCCCCCTATAATGATTAAATAAATGAAAAAAATACCCCAACAACCCCGTCTTTCACCTGTTCCTATGTTCATATGTGGCATAGAGTACTAAAGTGTGACGTCATAAAAATGAAATTTCTGAAATTATGGGATTTGTCAGGATATTCTGAAAGAACAATGTCCAAGAGGCCTACTTGCCAAAAATGAACATTTCGGGTCAAATTGTCTGAGATCGTAGCCCAGTTATACTTAGAAAACTCACTTCTAAATTTTTTTGGGGATCGACCCAAAAAAAACTTAGAAGGGTTTGTATGGAGTTTTTTAGGGCTACGATCTCAGAGACAATTTGCCCCAAAATGTTCATTTTTGGCAAGTAGGCCTCTTGGACATTGTTCTTTCAGAAGATATTGACAAATCCCATAATTTCAGAAATTTTATTTTTATGACGTCATCACTTTTAATACTCTATTTATAGCAGTTCAGTATGCTTCGTTAAGGATCGTTACAAATTCGGAAGTTGTCGGTAAATAATCGGAACCCGAAAGACGCGTCCTCCCGCCGTTGGTTGTATGTGTTTGATGAAGGTGCTGTTGGGAAGTGTCTTTACTTCCCAGCGTTCAACACAGATAGAAACCCGTCGTGCATTGCGTTTAACCAAGACTTGAGGTATTTGAACTTTCTGCTTGTATGTAGGAGAAATGGTTACTGCGTTTCTGAGTATTTTGTGACCTTTAAGTGAAGAACGTGAGCGCTCGAATGTCGCTAAAGCGAACAACAATGGCGGGCGCGAGTCTTTTTTCGATATCCTTGAGTCTTTCGCCCGAAAGGCCGCTTTGTGTTTCGTGTAAAGATGGACGTCTTCGATGCTCGGTTTGTCCTGCGTGTAAAGGCCTGATGTTTTCTCTCGTTATGTGATGAAACGTGAACGCGGGATTGTGAAAAAACATAGTGCTAGTATTGAATTTGTAATCAGAGGTCGGGGAATAGCTGTCTTTGAGTTCAGTATCCATGCGTTTGGTTTCGATACCCCCTTCTCCTTCCACGTTGCTCGCAGTAGCGCGGTTTGTTCGTAGAATTGAAAGAACGACCAAAGCCATACATCTGTTTTGAGTTTTTGTATCATTCGTGAAAACTAAGTGAATTCATTCAGTGTGTAGTACATGTACATGTAGGTATGTTAATAAAAGCGTGACAAGGACGTCTTGCATTTGACTCGCAATCGATCGAAGTGCACCCTTGCACACAAAGAACGTCTTGAAAATTGAGTTACCAAATTAAAGGAGCCACGAAATCGTTGGTCATAAGCTTAATCTTTTCCCACACAAACAACATTTTAGGTGACAAGTTCGGTGGCAACCTTTGTAGCCCGACAACAGTGTCTTAAGATTCCCTCATGATTGCTTGGGGCAATGTTCTCATACCCAAGCTCAACAACATTTTCCCTGTACCAAATATTCTCATTTTTCTGTGTACTGCATGCTTGATGTAACTCCAGTGCTTAACATGTTAATTCCTTTTCATGTAGGTGCCAAAAACATTCATGCATATCACATAAAACTACAAATTTACTCTAGCTTTGTTTCTGGTAGCACTGGTAAGATGCTCAAGAGGTAGTGTTTCACTTGAACAGCAGAAAAACGACATGTTACATGTTTTGAATATTTTTAATTTTATTTTTATTGGTCTTAAAATGCAAATCATACCCGAGAATGCACATATGAAAGTGCTGTTGATAACTATTATTTGACGGCCATTCAATAAACTTTAATTTGTCAAGTACTAAAAATATGTTTTTATGAAACAATTTATTGTACTGTAGCTAGCGAGAGGCTCTTTTTCTCCTTTCCACTGTTTATTCTATCTTATTTCATTTAAAATAATTTGATTTTTCTAATAAATATAATTATTTGTTATTAATATCCATAAACAATAAACATTTTTATATGAGCTCAAAGTGAACATTTTGAAAGTACCTTTTTTCCGTTATTTTTACCATTGTTCCAATCACTGTTACCCCCGGTGCTTTATTTTGCTCAGGTTACTTGCCCACATACACTGTATGTATGTGGTTGTCTGTGAATTTCCAAGGACTTAAACAGTACAGTCTTAATTTGACGCATGAAGCACCATATTTTATTCGTAAAATATGTCAAGCGATTTCCCTGCAACCTCGAACGAGTAAAAGTTGATCACTGTTAGATAAGGGTGATGAGAAAACTATGAAAGGAATTCATAAACCCTGTAAATTAACAAAAATTAGGTTGTGAGTCAGCCCACTCATTCACAAGCATTTTCCCACTCACCAATAAAAAAAATTATATCATCTTAATGATCTCACCACTCAGAAGAATCCTCTTTGATCATTTTTCTTTTCAATCTCCATCTGCTGTTGACTTCCATATTATATATATACAGTGGTTATATTCTCACAGAAAACATTTCCAAAATTTGGAAAGAAATGGAATCTGATCTGGATGGAAGAGAATCTAAAGAGGAAAGTGAGGTCCATTTGGAAGGTATGACTAATGGTAGATTAGATTTTTACTGATACAATTTGTCCATCTATGCCAGCTGACCACACATGTCTCACACATGTCTCTCTTACTAACTTAAGAGTTGCTTTGAAAACTTAGACATAACTGGGTGGTTTTAGGATATACCGGTATCCTTGTTTAATAGTAAGTTTTCTTGCTTGGAATGTTCTGCAGTCCTTCTTAGATGGTTTTAGTCTTTTATGAAAGCAATGACTTTGGTAGCATATCAGTGGTCAAAGGTGTGCAATGTCAAATTAGTACCTAGTGGACCTCATGTTAAGCTGGTACCCTGAATAACTGGTAAACTAAGAAAAGCTTAGGACTGGGCTGCTGAAGCTTCACACCCTGACCCTGTTCAAGAAAAACCCATTCATTGTGAACCCTCATTAAGACAAGAGACCTTCTATCACAACAACAATTTTTTCTTCATTTTGCATACAGTTTTAAAGAATATGGTTAGTAGCACATCATTAGACCACACACTGCCAATGTTTACATACTATTTAAGGATTCTGCTCTAGAGAAACACCTTGTTGAAGATAATAAGTTTATAGTGGAATTGTGTAGGCTGTTTTACCCCAAAATCCAGCAATCCAAACCTTTTCTTTACTTACACATGTATTTTCTGTAAAACAAACCTGTATTATACAGACACAGTCTTTTAAGTGACCTTAGCGTGAGATTACAGAGACCCAGGTGTGTCCAATTAACACAGGTTTCACTGTATTAAATCTAAAATTTATATGGTAGCAAATTGCTGAATGTAGTTATCATTGTGACTGGCTTTTCTTAGAACCCAATGATATTGCTCCAGTGGCTGTTAGTCATATTGCTGGTCAGCCAATCAATTCAACAGAACAAGAGGTGATAGGTCTACTGCTGGCACAACAGCAAGTGTTTACAAGCCCTACTAAACTGGAGCCTTCCAGTGTGTCTACAAACCCAGGCTCTATTGCTATGGTTACTGATGATGTGTTACAACAACATGGAACTGAAAACAAAGGCATTGTTATGGTAAGTATGCCAACTTAGTTTGAATTGTACAGTTATTGCCTTGAGAGAAAGTGTGGGCAATTTAATTTACCCCAGCATATCTGGGATTATCATGCTAGTAGACCATGTAGGTTTAATAGGCTGTAATGTCAAAGTCTTGATTGGACTGGAACAGGTGTGAAGTGAAGTGACGCCTTTATTTAAAGAGGGTAAACACTTGACAGTTTTGATTTAAACTGATAAACCTGTGGCCCTTTATAAACATAAAATCAATAAAATATTGAAATAATTTTACAATGTCAATTATAAAAAGATTAAAATTTAATGAAAAGATAAAAATTTAGATCAACCCCTTTTACTACTGTAACTCAATTCCTACATAGTGAGTTATAGGGATTGATCCAATCTGTGCTTATCAAGGTGTTATTGCATCTCTACTGTGATAAATTTTGTATGCATGCATTATTGACCAAGCACAAGGTCATGATGGCTGGATATTTTGTCATGGTCCTTAAAACTTAAAAAGAACTAGTTTAATGGTCAGCCATCTTAGAAAGTCATCAAACTTGGGTAATAAAGCAATATCAGGTGCGTTTTCATTGAAGGGCCTCATCACTACAGATCAGATCAACCCGACCAGTAACTTATAAAATGACAAAAGGTTATAAAGGGACTGGGTTGATCTAATCTGATCTAATCCAATTTTAAATTAACGTCAATGACAATTCACAAGAGCCTTTGGTATTTTGTAGAGTGAGGACGATGTTGAAGTCAAAGATGATTCAATTTTAGTTGCTCAGCAAGGTGAACAAGATGCTGCTACAGCAACCATTATGGCAACAGTGGATCACCATGAAGGTAGATCTATCTTGCAACCATAGTTTATTAAAATGTTAAAGAATGTACAGGTATTGGGTGGAATTGAACACAAGGCCACTTGGGGTTATGGTATTAATAAGAAATTTTGTTCTTATAAACCCCTCACTCCTACTTAGATTGGTGGTACATCTGAATTCAGTCAAACCTATATTATAAAGCTGGCCTACTTTAACCTTTAAGCCCCAATATCCACATGTAAATTCTCCATACTGATCTTCATACACTTTCCTAAAGAATTAGTTGGAAGAGTTTGATAACAGATCAAAACATTTCCTCTTAGTGATCATTTTATTAACTCTCATAACCATTTCTTTTGGAAACATATGAATATTGTTATGAGAAAATTGATGTTGGTCACTATTAGGACTTAAAGGGTTTAAAAGTGGTCATCCTCTATAAAGTGGTTACTTTTCTAGGTCCTGAAAATCATTTCTCTTCAATTACTGTAAAACTGAAGTGTATTAAGCAGTTGCAACACCTTTTCCGTAGTCCCAGTGACTTATTTTTTCTTTCTCTTGGGACATGAAGAGGTAGAAACAAGGCTGTGCTCTAAGGAAAATTGAAGGGAGCCCAGTGCTCTGAAACTGTAAAATCTAGGGTGTCCAGTGTATGATTTGTGTGAAAAATCTGAGATTTTCTAGTTGCCCAAGGGCAATAGTTAGGTGCCAGGGGCCACCGGGTTCTGCTAGAGCACAGCCCTGTAGAAACACTTTTGAAGTCAATGGATATTGCACTTTGTCTTTATCTATAAACTCTTAGGTTTGTTAAGCCTGTATTAAGAACTTGCAATCTGTATGACATGTAAGTGGTCATTTGGCCATTCCCCAACAGGGACTTGACTGTACAGCTACGTTGACTTGTATTTTTTCATGCTTCCATCACAGTTGTTTTGGCAATCAGTTGTTCAACTGTCCTATATGCCACATTAAGATATTGAAGTTTCCATGTGTATCCTTATCATTCACAGAACAATGCCTTGTAGACTTTGAGGTGACCAGTGGCGTTTTTGACTGTTGTTTGTAGGTAATGAAGGCTATCAGTCTGTGCAGACAACTTTGCCTCCAGGTGATCTTGTCCAGTCAGCAGTGGTGGTTAGCTCAACACCTGGTGGAACTGTGTTCCTTGAGCCTCAGGCTGTGACTCTGACGGAGCTTCCTGGTGGAACAGTACAAACACTTCCTGCTGGGAGCACATTTGAAGGTAATCAAAGCTTTAAGTCAAATCCAAAGCTAAACATACACGTTGCTTTAATAACTGGTGTTTCATAAGTAGACGCTAGATGGTAACTGGCCAACTGCTGGGCAGTCATGTCTGAAACTGCAGCCCTGTCTGTAAATTTAACATTGACCTCTGCCCCCACCTCGCCCCGCCTGTCCCAGTGCAATCTTATGACAACATATACACTTTGAACTTGAATCTATGTACTGTATATACAGTGAAACCCTGTGGCCACTCTACGAACACCCGCTTACCGGTAATATGGACACCATGACCAAGATAATACGGACATCATGGCAAGTCCCCTTGGTGTCCACATTAACCAGGTTCAACTGTTTATGACTTTGTACATAGGAAGAATGTTTTTGTGAAGGTAAAACTTAAAAAGTTGTAACTTAAAAGGAACTTAGTGTTTTGGCGGGTAAATAGGCTTTGTTTATTGTGGATTGCACGCAACTTTTCCACCTATTTTACAGGCGCTCCACTCAAGTAAATAGAAATAGAATATAAATGTAACAAACCCCAACTGACAGGAGGCAACCAGTTGGCTTTTTACAAACATGGCTAAGGATTTGAAATTTGAGAAACAAATCGAGGTAGAAGCCGGAGCAGAGGTTGAATCTGGGACAATGAGATTGCTAGTCTGACACATGCTGACCATTCTGCCTATGTATATATAAATTGAAAGTTGCTCATTTTAAAGAGGGTTGAGGTGCAAAGTAATACTTATCAAGTCACTTTATGCAAAGTATAAATCTAAGAACAAATTAGAGCGTTCAAATGCAAGGGCTTTTCCATTTCATAACATTAATAATTTTTCTTTCAGCAACATATGTTCACCAAGCCAGTGATGGTACCAGCTATGTCATCACATCAGAACCAACTTCTTTTGACACCAACTCGACAGTTTCCATGACAACTATATCAGAGTCAAACCCCTCCATGGTGAGTCCAACTGAGACAGTGGATACCACAGGGATTCCTCTGGAGGACCACTCGACTCTGTTTGTTTTACAGGAGGATGGTAGTGCAGCGGATCAAGAGGTATAAAAACGCACTTTATTTGAGTGTCAATGTATTTAGCTTGAAAGTGTTAGGAACACGAGTTTTTTGTCCCCTACTGCTATTTTACGTAGACATCCAAGCCACGCCAAGGTCAAGCTGTTCGCAGGGCAAAACCAATACCTTTATTTACAACGGAAAGTAGAAAAAATGATACTGAACAAAACTGAACCAGTAAAACCAGCTAATAATTTGTCGGTATTTGTAGACACATATATCCTGTACAGTATATGTTGTTGTTATTTAAATGTTACACGTCTTCTTCTGTGAATTGAGTTTTTTATATGGGTAATTTCGAGGGTTTAAATTTCGCGGGGAGTTTTATTCGCAGGTCTTTAATGATGCGATTTTTCCACAATCGCGAAAAACGCGAAATTAAAGACCCGGGAAATTAAGTATTTATGACCTTGAGTTTTGGTCTGGCACCAGTTGTTCGAAAGGTGGATAATGCTATCCAACGGATAAATCACTATTTACTGGATAGCGCAATGATTGGTTTCCTGAATACTTATCCACTGGATCGTAGCCCTGTCCATTTGGGGCGTGGTCCTCGGAATGGGCCATTTCCGAGTTCCACCGGGCCTCTGTATCAAAACGAGGTTAAGTGTATTAGACGATTTTTCATTCTCATGCAAAAAAATCTCATTTTCACAAGAAAGGTTGTGCACTTGGCCTCATTTTGAAAGTGAGGGTTTTTGGAACTCGGAAGTGGTTTGAACCCACGACGTCCTGCTCTAGTGCTCCTTTTAAGAGAGTCGAGGTCCTGTGTCACCCATGGCAAATGTCAGAGGTGGCCATTACATTGCTTATCTCACAATTATGAAAAAATTACAGTTCTCACTTGTGCTTCTACGAATGAGAAACACTTTTATGGGGTGATACCTTAAGAGTTCTTTTTTTTCATGAACTAGGGGTCAACAAAAAAGATATACCATTGCGGGATCGATGGATGTAGTAAGCAGTTTTCAACATCTTATCGGCTGAAGGCACATGGACGAAGCCACACGGGAGACACATTTAGATGTGAAGAGAATGGCTGTGAGAAGGCTTTTATAACTCAGAGCGACTTGACAAAACATGTTAGAACTCATTCAGGAGAAAAACCATACCGTTGTGATCACGAAGGTTGTGGAAAGGTTTACACAACGGCACACCATTTAAAGGTTTGTTTAATGAAAAATCTACCGTCCATGTAGCTTGCCGCCATAATTTGACGTTGGTGAAGATATCTCTAAATAGGCAACGATGTCTCATGTGAGCAATATTTCAAGATTCTTTTCGATTTAGCTTGTCGGTGATTAGTCTCCAGTACTGTCAGGGGCACCCAACGAGGATATAGTTCAAAACCACTTAACATAGCATTGTTGAACGTATTTTAGTATTTAAACGGTAGATATAGGCATATTTTTATCCCCTAAAAACTTTTCATCTGTTCGGATTTCCTAGCTGAAAGTCTAGTAATCCGAAAATTATAGGGATAAAAACTTACCTTCTCGAAAATTTCAGCCAGGAAAAGGCTCCCTGAAAATTCTAGGTGGCCTTTTTTAGGGGACAAAATCCGCTAAAAACTCAGGGTAATTATACCATTTTGTAGATGTTCGAAAATCCTAGGAGAGGCAGGCAAGCAAGAAATTTTACAACAAATGCTCCGAAAATTCTAGTTCTCAAATCGTCTTCCGAACAGATATTTTCCCGAAAATTGCCGTTGGGTGCCCCTGTACTGTAACCTGAGGACAGTCAGGGGGACTATTGGCTGTAAGACACTCAGTGGTAACCTCTCCTCTCGGGTGCCCCGTGCACTCGTTGCCTAAGCGTCCCCTAATAACAGCTGTCGCTTAGGCAATAAGTGCTGAAGTCAATACCCCCCGCCCCCTCCCCCCAATAAGGCCTACGATTGTGAGGCCTCACAATCTCACACTGGAGACACTGCACAGGTCACTAGAGTCTTCTTTAAAAAGGAGGTGGGATTTTATTTCGATTTCTTGAAAATCATTTTTTTCTGTCGGTTTTAGACGATTTTAAGCAGAAAATGAATATATAGGCGCTAAAATGGCCCCTTTGTGGGAACAGTTTTAAGAGGCTGTCCGCGTAAGAACCGATAAGGCAAATTTTGGTCTATCACGGATTGCCCTGATTTTTTCAGTGGAAGATAACTATCCTATCCCATGAAGAAATATCACATTTATTTGCACCAACTCAATTTTTTCTCTATTTTACAGAAAGATTTTCTAAGTCACCTAAAACTAGCCAGTTTGCCGTCGGAAGTGGTGCGATTTTGGTGAAACTTTAGGGCCCTTGCAAACCTACCTTACATAGCCGAATAAGCTGATTATTTTACACACAACAGTTTTAACTCTTATTAATAGTTTCAAGATTTAGTGGTTGCATTCTGTGGAAAGTTGGCTGAGATATAATTTTTTTTAAATGATCTTTAATTTGCTTATCGGGAAAATTAATTTGCGTAACTAGAGCTGAACGGTAATTTCGCAAAAGTGGCACCTGACCCAGACTCAAGTCTATTATAAAACAGAAGTACTAAGACCAGTCTACATCTTAATGCAATAAAATTTGTGGGCAGTCTTCTTTGCGTGCTGTACAAAGTTCCGTTAATGTGCCAAAATTCGCCACTTTGACAGCAAAGCTGGAATTGTAACGGTCTGCATCTGGTCGACTAATTTTTCACAGCTTTAACGTTTCTAGCTATCACTAACTGTCATTAGACCCTTTAAATGTTGGACTTTCGAAAACATGTGGAGAAAACTTGGTAATCGCTTTTTCTTGGGTTTTTCCTCGTCGACGATGAACGTGACTTCGTTCTCCGTATGCAAATTAGCCTTAGATGCTTCGTCTCAACAAATTGACATGAAACATAATCCTTACATTTCACATTTCTACGTTGAAAAATAACTCTCCTTTCCACAGGAAAACACGAATCATTACTTAGAATTCCCGTTAAGGTCTGTTTTTTTTTTAACGAGGAAGAAGCAGCTGAATAATATATCATGATACATGTTTGCGTGGCTTAAAATAATTCAATTATTGTTGCCTGTCACGCATTCCTAAAGAGGGGCGGTCGATTAGAAAACGATAGCGTTGTATCGATCAATTTTTATTATATTATCATCTTTTTTTAAATGATAGTTATTGATAATAATAAAAAAATAAGAGTTAACTTGCAAGGTAAGTCCTCTTGTCAGCACAATAAAATTTGTGGGCACTCTTTTCTGCTTATCAGATCTTTGTACACGGCACTATGATAAAAAAAAAAAATGCTCCAACACTTTTTCTGTCTTAACAGTTTTTTAAAGAGAAAATCCCTGTATGGCTTTGCAAAAGGCAAATTAGCTGTGAATTTCAGTTTCATTCAAAGATCTTTAAAGCGTTTATCGGTACCACAATGGAACGGGAAAAAATAGTTTCTTTTTTCAGTGAATACACGCAAAAGGGATTATCTCAGTTTTTAGTTTTTGTCAGGGTATAACATCCGTATTCCTAAGATGATCTTGTTTTCGTTTCAATCTAATTGAATTATAATGCAACAGGTGCCAGTTTCAAATATAATTATGTCAATGAAATCGCCGAAGAGATCAATTGTGAAAAATGGCTTATTCGGCTATAGTCATACGATCAAGCTGTTCTTTCCGCGAGATCGTCAAGACAGAGTGTGGTCCCAGTAGGGGTATGGACAACCTTGTCCCCAGGGCTTTTCCCTTTTCACTTGTCCAAGTGTAGCAAAGTCAATGACTGAATGAACTCATTGTAGCGAGAGTAGAGGTTTGGTAGGTATTCGGAACTGAAATGACAATCTGCCCAAGGCACAGACACTTAATAGCCTGTGTACAGACCCCCCTCCCCTTAGGAAAAATCGGAGAAGGGGTGGGAGGTGGTGTGTACACAGGCTAACACTAAAATGACAATCTGCCCAAGGCACAGACACCTACTTAGCAGGTTTTTGCGAGCGCCAAGGTCTTGTTAGGCTCGACTGTAAGCCGCTGAGCTGGAAAATGAGCCCCCAAGGGACCGGGAGACGGTGGAAATCGAGCCTAAGGTCTTGTCAATACCCAGGTCATACTCTGGATCATACTGGCAAAATAACTACTGTGACATGTCGTGAATTTCCAGATAGCCCGCGAAATAAGTCAAAGTTTTGCTTCATCATGTAAGTATCATTCTTTTTTCTTCTTCATGCAAAAAATTTCTAAACGTACAGAGATATTCTAATTTCTCTATTTAACCTTTTATCTTGCGATGTTTTCTGATGTTCGTTTCCAGTTTATTTGAGCTTGCAAAGATAGTTTATTTATTTCTATTTTTTGACAGCCGTGTATCTTGCCCTAATCAATTCTTACCTTTAAAATGCTAAGGTTAATCCGTGTGTTGTAAAAGATAGTTTTCTGGTGATTGTTTGAAGAGCATTATAAATGGAAAAAGAAAGAACTTTCTACGCGGAGCCAAGATTCAACCTCGTCCCCAGGGCTTTCCCGCCCCTGTCATTTTCTAAGAGGAATGTCCCTGGGACGTGTGTGAAAAGTATTTCATTCTTGCAATGAAAATAATTTTTTTTAACTTAAACAGTGTTTAAAACATGTCTCTGGTTTTGTAAAAATTAGTGACTCTTAAAAGTACCAGGATGTTCAGTTCAACTTTATATAGCCGATTTGCTCCTCCTGTCGCAAGAAACGTGAAAAAACTTGACGCTAAAGGGTCGAGAAGAGTACGATTGATCAGTCAGCAACCATGTCCACACCTTTGTCGGAGAGGTTTATTGGACAAGATTTCTCTGTTTTTCTTGTTTTGATAACGTTTTCACTAAGTCTTCAAAAATGCCTCCAGATTGCTTTCTTTCTTTCTTTTTTTTTTTTTGTATTTATACCCTCTTGAACAATGTGCCGCCATCAAAGTGCTCCTATCATCTCTCTATTTTTAACCTACTTTACCATCCACCCTCTCTCCCCCCGGTTCCACCTTTACTTTTACAAGCATTATACTTAAAGGGGTGAAATTTCGCCTGTGTATATCACTTTCTGAAAAATTAAGTCCTTCTACTTTTTCCTTAAATTCTTAAACTTAGTTCAGTTTTTACCACCAAAGATGCTGCTAAGGCGTGCAATAAGCGCACTCGCCCTTTCATATACTTCATCTAGTGAAATGCCTACCCTTTCATATACCTGAAGCCTGAAATACTCCTTTCGGGCGGAGTCTCCCCGTAGAGGCCATCATAGGGAGTTCCCCCTACCCCCGTTCCAATTCCGTGCTCACCTATTGCCAGCCCATGTTAGACTTTAGGCCCGTTTGAGTCAACACCTAAACATAGTCCTAAGTGAAATTACAATAAGGTTAAGGACACAATAACCAATGTAATGAACTTGAATATAAATTGAACTTGACCATAGAGATCTGCTGCAAGAAGACGAGGTGTTCGCAGGAAAAATCTTGTTGCAGGAATTGCTGAAGAGTAATTGAAACCACAACATCCTCAATCAGAAGCTTTCAACCTATGTGTATGTAAAAGGAAGATCAACCTACGAGTAACAGAGCCGTAGCTACAGTCCTGGGTAATGATAAAAAAATCTTGTGCCACTTTGAAATACCATTCAAATCCAGGGAAAGAAAAGAACACCTAAGTTACAAACTTTCGTCTTTCATACAAGAGTGCACGTGCTTTTCTCCATCAGCTCAGTAGTAAACATAGACAACATAGGGATCCTTAAGTTAGTGTGATTAACAGCCGGCAAAAACTTTTGGGATTTAACAGGAGACGGACCGTAAACAAAAAACCATGCATTTTTCTGCATGCCATTCCTAATTTTTACTGAAATGTTGTTAATTAGCGATAAACACATGCACAATACCACCGTAAAGTTTGTAGGGTAGCCTATTAGCTAGGGATCTAGGAAATGTGTATGCTGCTTAAAGGACTTTGCAGGTGTGGTCCTGTGGTGTCGCACGGTATTTCTGAAGTTGTTTGCGAGCGATTTCCCAAAGATCAATTGTCTTTCTGTAATTTAAAATATTGTGCTAGTGCTCGTGAGGAAGAGTGGCCATGTCGAAGTGACTACTTTATAGCTAATTGTCATGTATTACACCAGTGGCCGCCCGGGGATACTGACTCAGTTAAAACGGTTTTAGAATGAATAATTACAACAGCACGGTATTTCCCACCCAGTAAAGAATCGGAATTAACAGTGATTAAGTTGTATGATTGTCAATAACTATCACTTCAAAAAAGATGTAATAAGATAAAAGAACTGATCGATACATGGTCACACTGGGGGAATGCGTGACGGGCCACAGTAATTAAATTATTTTAATTCGCGTAAGCATATCTTCTTCTGCTGCTTCTTCCTCGTAAAAGAAACAGACCTAAGGGGATTCTAAGTCATATATCGTTCGTGTTTTTCCGTGGAAAGAAGAGATATTTTTCCCTTAAAAATATGAAATACAAGTATCATATTTCCTGTCAATTTGTTGACACGACGCATCTAAGGCTAATTTGCATACGGAGAATGAAGTCATGTTCATCGTCGACAAGAAAAAAACCCAAGAAAAAGCGATTACCAAGTTTTCTTCACATGTTTTCGAAAGTCCAACAGTTAAAGGGTCTAACGACATTTGGTGATAACTAGAAACGTTAAAGCTGTGGAAATTAGTCGATCCGATGCAGACCGTTACAATTCCAGCTTTGCTGTCAAAATGGCGAATTTAGGAACATTAACGGAACTTTGAACAGCACGCAAAGAAGAGTGCCCACAAATTTTATTGCATTAAGAAGTAGACTGGTCTTAGTACTTCTGTTTCATCATAGACTTGAGTCTGGGTCAGGTGCCACTTTTGCCAAATTACCGTTCAGCTCTAGTTATGCAAATTACTTTTCCTTCTGAGCAAATTAAAAGTCATTTTAAAAAAATGATATCTCAGCCAACTTATCACAGGATGCAACCATTAAACCTTGAAACTATCAACCAGAGTTAAAACTTTTGTGTGTGAAATAATCAGCTTATTCGGCTTTGCAAGGCAGGTTTGACAGAGCCCTAAAGTTTCACCAAAAACGCACCACTTCCGACGGCAAAATGGCCAATTTTGGGTGACCGAGAAAATCTTCTTGTAATATAGAGAAAAAATTGAGTTGGTCCAAACAAATATGATATTTCTTCATGGGATAGGATAGTTATCTTCCACTGGGAAAACCAGGGCAATCCGTGATAGACCGAAACTTGCCTTATCGGTTCTTACGCGGACAGCCTCTTAAGACGTTAAAAGTGCCCTTCCAGAACCCTTGGAGTTAATGTGCTGCAGCAGGCCACGACAATTACAGCATTAGACACGTTTCATGCATGTAAATCTTCCATATTGGGCGTTAAATACTCGAGAAGTACACGCGTGTAAATCAGAAAAAAATAGTGAACATCATTAAGGCATTGACGATCTGCTTTGTTTGGAAAAGTACTTACTTGCAAATTAGCTAAGACCACGCAAAAGTTTAATGATGGAAGTTGTATGAATTTTAGATTTTTAGTAGATCATAAAACTTCCCTGAATTACTGCAATCGCTCATTCGTGGTTAGTTAAATTATAAAATCGTAACTCTGGGTTGTCACTAAGATTTCAAGTTGCCAGGGAGAATACAACAAGAAAGTAGGGAATCAAACTACGAAAGCTAGGGATTTCTTTTTTTTCTATTTTTCTATTTTCCTGTGAAAGTAGCGGGGGGCCACGTTCCTAGTACCCGGGGGAATCCCTGGGCCCCGCCTCTTAAAAGCCCTGGTAACTTGTCTCCATTTGTCTCCCAACATGAGTTCCCCTTTTGGTATATTTTACTTTTTACCAGGAATCTTATAAGGCAGAGGTCCGATCGTATTTTTGCAGGTACATGAAAGAGCGCACACTGGAGAGAAACCTTTTAAATGTAGAGTTGACGGCTGTGACAAGGCCTTTGCAACAGGTTATGGACTAAAGAGCCACACGCGTACACATACAGGAGAGAAACCTTACAAATGCCCTCAAGAAGGGTGTGGCAAGGCATTCAAGACTTCAGGAGATTTACAAAAACACGTACGCACACATACAGGTCAGTAAAACGCATTATAAAATTTAGATTACACATACAGGTCAGTAAAACGCATTATAAAATTTAGACTACCGTATTTATTCGATTAACCGCCCTGGGCGCTTATTAAATTTTTGGACCTTGAGAGTGGGCGCTTATTCGAGGTGGGCGCTTATTCGAGGCTGGGCGCTTATTAAATTTTCACCATTTTCAGCAAGTGAAGCATGTTTATTTTATAACAAAACAATAAATGCTAATAACAAAACGCGAAGAAGTAACAAAGCAAGGTTTCTGTAAAATACTCTGAAGAAGACTCCGTCCTCGGGGAAGTCTCTTATTAGAATTTACTCACTCAAGTGGGTGGGGTGGGGTGAGCGCTTATTTGAGTTTGATTGGGAGGAGTAGGGGGTGGGCGCTTATTCGAGGGTGGGCGCTTATTAACTTTTTCTGCCTTTGGGATGGGCGCTTATTCGAGGTGGGCGCTAATTCGAGGTTGGGCGCTTATTCGAATAAATACGGTATGTCCACACTGTACCGGAAAGCTTTTGCGCCGGCACAAAAACCATACCGGATAAGCCGCTTCTCTTCCAACATAAGAACGGTGATTTCGACGCCATTACTGTAACGGAACGAAACTGCACCGCTCAAATCTCTTAAACGGAGTGTCACATTTCAGACGCGTTCTTACTACACTTTCGTTTCGGCACGAAAAGCTTTCCGAAATAGTGTGAACACAGCCGCCCGCTTAATGTCGACAAATCGGCAAAGAAATGCTGAAGAGCTCTGGTTGTTCAAAAGGTGGATAACGCTATTCACTGGATAAATCTCTCCCAATAATTATCCATTGGATAGTGACTTATCTGGTGGATAGCGTCATCCAACATCCATTGAACAACTCGGTGCAGCAGATGGTCGCACAGTTAAAAGTGTATTAAAACAGTCAATCTCGTCCGCTATCATGTTTCTATTGTTTTGTCATTTTCGATACTTGCTAAGTCCCAGAAATAGTTCCCTGTAATACTAAAACTAAATTGGCGTCTATTATAAAGCGATTGCGGTCTAGTCAGGTTACTTTTTATTCCTCTTAACCTCTTTTGACCCTTTCCCTTCCAAAAGTGTGGCTAAAGCCACAGTTCAACAAAATTTCCAAATTTCATTTTGTAAAATGCTGAAAACAAACATTATTGTTTGAATGTACTGTTCACAGACTCAAAACTTAGAACTAGATACTAAATAAATAGTACCATGTGAAAGTACTGCTGAAGAGGTTTCATTTGAATGGTCACACCATAGGATTTTTCTCAAACATTCAGGCTAGGAGAGAAAGGGTTTTAAAGCGGTCTCTTTTTTACGACTTACCCGAAGTACGTCTTTACTCCTCGCTCAAGGCTGAAGTGGAGAGATTCGACTGTATTGTAGCTGAAAGGAATAAGAAGTCAGAAAAATCGGTATCCGTTTTGCAAACCGTCATCATTATTATAAATCTTGTTTCCAGGTGAGAGACCCTTCACGTGTCCATATGCTGGGTGTGGCCGCTGTTTCACCACGTCCAACATCAGAAAAGTGCACATGAGAACTCACACAGGGGAACGACCATACGTGTGTGAACACGAGGGATGCGGGCGGTCGTTTGCTAGTGCTACCAACTTTAAGAATCATTCAAGAATACATACAGGTGTGGGAAATATTTATCTTATATGCATTTACTTTTAAATTCAGATTCTGGAGTTGTGAAATTGTTTATTCCACTGTTCCGCCGACGAACAAACCACTGTTGAAAAGTGATAATTTGCGTCAACAAAAGTGTCATTAGTTTGTGCAACCAAACAAGACTATGCTCATATCGCCATGACCTTAAATGTCTCTTGGTAGCGGAGAAATTGTTACTTAAATGTCTCTTGGTAGCGTGTGCTACAGCGCTGTTTTGTTCATTAAAGCATGAGATTTCCCCGCATTGTCTTGATTGCCTATGTAACATTAAAAAATAGTAGTAGTGAACAGGCCCTTGGTAAAACCGCACCATTTTACTCATAAACGCAAAATCTTAAAATTTCATTGTTTGAGAATGTACATGTAATGGCCTAAAGGCTGTTCGTTTGTGGCTAAAATTGTTGTGCAATGTTGATTTTTCATTCAGGGGAGCGGCCATATATTTGCCAAGTGATTGGCTGTAACAAGCGCTTTACAGAATACTCCAGTCTATACAAGCACCATGTAGTCCACACTCACAACAAACCATACACGTGTAACATCTGTAACAAGACCTACAGACAAACATCTACACTGGCCAACCACAAGCGGACAGCTCACTGCGATATGTCGGATGTTGACCACTTGAGCGAAGGTAAGGAATGTTTTTAAAGATAAATCAAGAGTTAAACTGCTTGCAGTCCGCCTTTTCTCTTAAGATTCGTCGGGTTCTTATCTTAGCTATAGAGTGTTTGCAAAACAACAACGTAGCAAAAAAACCTACGCCCTCGTTTCTGGCGGCTCGCGGCTCTTTTTCGGGTACCAAAAACTGACGCAGGTCCCCAGGGTGGAGATTTTTGAAAACGTTTGTCGTCTTCGTGTAGACGGACGAAACGGAGGTTTTCGGATACGATATTAATTTCATACATCATGTAGCGTACACCCTGTAAAGGACGCTGTCGTTCTAGCATTGTTTTAGCGTTTTCGGTGGATGAGCAAAATCAATTTGAATACGCTCAAGTAGATTCGTACTTTTTGAAAACGGAGAAAATATCTCCGTTTTATCCGAATACGTATGAACGAGGCCTTATAGGCATCCATAAAAAGTCCTTTTGTCGATTATTACTGTAACTGCAGGATAGCAATTTGATTTTTAATGTACGTTTTTATGTATTTTTAAAAAACTGCAGCTGATTACGACGTTGGACAAGACGAACCCACTACCAAGCGCCAGCGATTGGACTACACTGACACAATTCAAGGTACCCAAGCATTCCCGCATGGTGTGCCTGTGGTTATAGCAGATGAAGCATCGGTAGCCGCGCTTCAAGCCATGGACGGAAGCCTGGCAGATATCCAGCAGCAAATGGCTGAAGGAGGTCATGTGGCCGGTCACATTGCCATTCCTGTTGCCATAGCATCAGACGCTGGAATACAAGTCCAAGGGGATCTAGAACATGCCGTTACCCTCTCACAGGGAGCCCAGCAGTTGAGTTCAACACTTGTTGACAGCTCAGGACATGAGCTGGACGTGTCTTCCGTACAGGTCGTGTCAGCACCGCAGACAGTTGTCGTGACATCCCTGGAGGCCGTGACAGGGTCTGGACAACCAGCAGAGACAGTGGTTGTCACTTCCATTGATGGCGTGACCACCACTGCGAGAAGAACGCACGAGGGATTTACAATTGTCACGGTACCTTCGCAGGGGGGAGGGCTGGGAATTCAGGTGTCAGGTGAGCAGGAGAAAGTCCAGGAAGGAAATGGCGACGAGAATGAAATTCACAGTAATGGCCAGGAGGCGACTGAGGGTGAGTCAGGTAAGGAAATAAAGTTCAGGCAAAGTCTTCAAGTTTTTCGCTTTGGCATCTTGAACGATTGCACACAGGAGAATTGTGGCCTTGCAACGTAACATAATGTAATGTAATGTTATCTCTGAGAGAAGACTACGTGCAGCAGGGAAAAGAAAAACATATACTTTTCGTTAGAATCAGATTGCAATCTGAACCAGCATCCCACACTGAAATTGCTTATGGGATGCCCCACATGGGAAAGAAAAACGTCAAAAGCGCACGGGGATAATTTTGTTGATCGCGCTGAAACTTGTTATGGACTTTTTTTACAAGTTAAGAACTTAGGTTTGGGATGAAGACGAGAACTCAACAGAATGAAAACATAAAAGAAATTACATCTTAGACATCCTGATTTTTCTGCAGCAGTGTTAAGATTCTGGGAAACTGCTCACCCACCCCTTCCAAAACCCAACGTTTAAACGTAATTTCTCACTTAGGGCAAAATGTTGTGGGAGGAGAGGGGTAGGTGAGCAGCTTCAAAGAATCCGGATCAGCATAAAATTCTGGTAAACAACCCACCCACCCCTTCCTTAACGCAACGTTTCAAATTAATTTCTCACTTAGGGTAAAATGTTGTGTGAGGGGAAGGGTAGGTACCTTGTGAGTTTTAATCTTTATAATACTACATGAGAAATTTCTGCAATTTGATTGGCTTAGACAGGAGCCCATGGGCTCCTGGCTTAGAGAAGTGGTATTTCATCTTAATTTGAAATACCTACATGTGAAAATTACAAAACGTTTGTGGGTAGTAGTATAAACAAATAATAACATGATTTGTACGTGATATTTTGCGTAAATACCACTCGTGATATTTCAAAATTGTCTCAAATTCCACTCGCCTAACGACTCGTGAAATTACGTATAACAATTTCGAAATATCACTCGTGGTATTTATGCCAAATATCACTGCAAATCATGCTATTACCTATACTAATAGGTAATTTTAATATTACGTATCAGAAATGCCGATTTCAGGGTCAGTTATAAGCTGATTTTTCAGGAGTAGTCTCGAATGAGAAGATGAATTTTGGTGCTTTCTGTTTTAACAGATGTCCTCCAATCCCAAGAGCCATCGCTAAGCGAGTCCAAAGCGGCTCTGGATGCAGCCTTGGCATCACAGCTTGAACAAAGTGACGTCATCAGCAGTGAAGACCCTGATTCAGCCTCGACTTCAGGGTCCACCGCGCTGTCCGCTTCTGTAGCCTACCAGACTTAAAAGTCAAATTTAATTCAACCAATCAGCTGTATCGTTGTTCAGGCCATCGGACTAAAAGTGGGACTCCCAGGGTGCTAGAAGGTTTCGTTGTTCTCTTGAATTGGGTTACTCGAGTGTTCAACTGCGCTAGCCTGAGAAAACAGCCAACATTTGGCGACGCTACCACTGGTTTCCCCGCCAAATGACGTCTGGGAAACGAGTGCCGAAATTTCATACTGATGACACGTCACTACCCAGATCTGGGTAGTGCTTCTGATTGGTCATGCCGCGTGGGAAATTTGATTCAACCAAGCAGAAGCACTACCCAGATCTGGGTAGTGACCCGTCATCAGTGTGGAATTTCTGCGCTCGTCTCTCAGACGTCATTTGGCGGGGAAACCAGTGGTAGCGTTGCCAAATGTCGGCTGTTTTCTCAGGCTTCAACTGTGCTTACGTAAAAAATACTTCACGTCCCAGCAATATAATTTTTTTTGTTTGGAAGGCACTTTTTGTTTTGTCTTAGGTTTCAGAGGATTGTCAGTGCTAGCCACTCCATAATTTTCTTAACGAGTCTTGTGTCGTATTTGACTGTGGATTTTTGAGTTTAAGTTCTTGTACTTGAGATGCTTGTAAAGCATAACACCATGAAAAATAAATTGGTCTAAATAAATTGTATAGAAAAGCCTTGGTTGTAAAGCGATTTCACCTGACGCCCGCGTCATTTTCTATCTTATGTCTTTGCTTTCTTTCCCAGATATTTAGTTCTTTAGTTCCTATGTAAAAGGGAGGGGGCCTGCTTTGGAGGCGTTTCTTTCGGGTACGCGAATGCTCATGCTTGCGTACCCCGGGGGTGATCCCTATGACAGCCTATATATGGGAAAGGCTCAGCCCGAAAGGGTTACCTTTTAAGGGTTTAGGTATTTGAAAGGGACGGATCTCATTAGTTGCAATATATTACTGAGATAAGGAAATCTGTCATTTCCGTATGTAAAAAGGCCCGAAGGGGCTAACGGATGCTTTTCATGTCTGTTAAAAAGTCAAGAAAACGTTCTGGTTTTGTGATTTATTCATATTTTAAAGACAGTGCATATACAACCATTAAAAGGGCCGCGTTACCCAAGAAAGAAATCCTTTTAGTACAGTAAAAACCCGCAACTAAGAACCTAAAAATTAAGATCCTGTTAGCCTAAAATTGGTCACTTATACCCCCTATAAACAAGAACCTTTTTAGCCTAAGAAATTTAAAACAGGTTCTTATTTTCTAAAATCATACTAGTACATTACAGCTGCATTGCAAGAATCATATTTGAAGCAAAAAAAGCAGATTGCCAAAGCTCGGCAAAGTATATAAATACATGTAAATGTATAAATTGATATATTCTTAAATGGGGGAGCGGGGGAAGGGGGGGTGGGGCTGAAGAAAATAAAAGTATCGGTTAATGACCAACTTATTGCAGCTGTGTTTTAATTGTTTTTTTCTCCAGGATTAAGAACCCATTTTAAGAACCTAAATAGCCTAAAATTCTGTTAACTACCATTTATATAAGAACCTGTTTAGGCTAACTCCTAAAAATGTAGGTTCTTAGTTGCGGGTTTTTACTGTACTACCTTATTTAGGGTTGCAAAGCAAAATTGTTACCAAACAACTCAAGGCTTGTATAAATAAATTTTAAGGGATAAGAAGTTCTGAACTAGGTATGAGAAATATAAAGGGATGCCATTTATCATTAGAAGGTATACGAAAGGGGTACCTTAAGTTAAAAATGGTTTATAAAAGGGTAAGGGGTTGGACTTCAGGGCGAGTACCGGTATAAAACTTCTTAAAGTACTACCCCTCGGAGTGGGGCGCGTAACCGCAATGCTGAATTTTAAAGTCGGAAAGTTGGGGCGAGTCAAAGGTAGCAGGAGGCGGGAGAAAGAAGATACCTTTCTCCCCTCCCCCACCCCCGTCTCGTTCTTTCGCTCTAACGCCTACCCCAAGGGATGATATTGTTACTCTTTTCAAGCTTTTACAGAGGTAAAATAAAAAATTAATGGCCACGGCATTACGGCGATTATTTCATCTCTTTAGAAATTCAGCCTCAAGATTTGTTTCAAATGATCGAACCGCGACATGAAAACACGAAACGTAGATCTCGTCTTTCAACATAGACAGTATTCTATATGTCGTTGGTTTTATTTGTGCTCAAGTCTTTCCTGGGAATTGCGAGACAACGGAATCGTGAAAAATTTGTAATATTTGCCTGGGAGCCATATAAGAATTTTAATATATCGGACGTAGGGCCATTTTACCTTGTTTATAAATCGAAGATGGCGGCTACCATTCTCGTCCCCAAAGCCCGTCGTTTCTGGGACGAGAATGGGCGGCTACACGAACACTGAGTGCTCGCGTGCCGGCAAATAAGTCTACACCGCGCATGACACATTTGGGGACATTAGCGTATCTTTTTTAAACTGACTGCAACTACGAATACCGCTTTTAAAATTCGTCCTTCAAATCAGTAGAAAACAGTCGACATTTGGCGATGCTACCACTGGTTTCCCCGCCAAATGAAGTCTGAGAAACGAGCGCAGAAATTCCATACTGATGACGCGTCACTTCCCAGAGCTGGGTAGTGTTTCTGATTGGTTGAATCAAATTTCCCACGCGACACGACCAATCAGAAGGACTACCCAGATCTGGGTAGTGACGTGTCATCAGTATGAAATTTCTACTCTCGTTTCTCGGACGTCATTTGGCGGGTCACCTTCGCCAGTAAAAGAGAAACCTTTGACGATCTCATTCCATCATAATATAATAATTAATCGCTTTTTTGTTCATCATGTGTTTGTGTGGTTGGTTCTTGACATCAGATCCTCTTTAGACAAGCATTCAAGCGTCCAAGACATGTCAACCTTAGACTTCGCCTCCGTCATCACAAAGGACGACGCCAAGAGCTCGTTTTATAAGTTCACTGTGATCCATTTGTGTACATCCTTTGTTAGAGATTATATTTGTGTCGTAATTCATCTCTACGTTGCTGTCTTTCCTCCCGTTTCCTTTCACGTTCTTCCGCTCTTTGTCTCGCAGCCTCCATTCTTTCTTGATTCCTAATAGATTTGGAAAATAAAATGTTTTAGCGGAATCGACCTATCCAACTTATATTAATTACACCAGTGTCTCACATCTTGTGCGAAGAAACATTGATGGGGAAGAAAATCACAAAGAAGATGCTGCTTCGTTTCTTCATTTTTTGCTGGTTCCTGGGGACGTGACCAATTTCTTGCCCTCCATCACCCCGCATCTCCTTAACCTCCTCCCTCCTATCCCTTCTCCTCTAATCACGTAGCTTGCGAACGGAAGACGTTTCTCCTCGCTCATCCCCGCGAGGGACGTTTCGCGAGGAGGAACGTGCGAATTTCACAAATCATACATAAAACCAACAGTTGAAGTGGTAGTTCAACTGCCAGTTCAACTGTTGGTTTTATGTATGATTTGTGAAAATGGGCTCATACCCCCATATACTATACTACTAAACGTCCCTCAGTGGCGATGAGCGAGGAGAAACGTCTGCCGTTTGCAGGCTACTAATCACGGACAGCGCGACCTCTATTTTTCGCGCCAGGCCAAATCGAGAAGAATCATTTACAACTGGCCCGTATACGGAGGTAGGAGTCTAATGAACAAAGGAATTCGCTGTATGAACAAGTGAGTGAGAAAAGGAAGGAAAGAAAGATGGAATGAATGAATGAATGAATGAGTCATTTAAACATTCACGCACTCACTCACTCACTCATTCACCTAATCACTGAATAAAAGGACTGGACGATTGATCGAACAAACGAATCAATGCACTGTCGGAGGAACAGAGAGATGAAAAAGTGAATTAGACTTGAATGAATTGTCATACCTTATCTCTTCGTCACTCATGAGTGGTTGAGCGGACGAGACCGCTCTGAAACAACAACACGTTGTAGCGGCGAATAAGTTGCCAGGTTCTGTTCCTATGTATTCATCGCGATAGAAGAAACCTTGTTTTCTGTTTTAAGTGACAGAAAAAATAACGAAGACCCGTTTTATTCTTTAGATTATAAAAGTTATTAGACTAAACCGATACCTGACATAAACAAACTACTTACATTTTTTATTACAACATCGATAGACTACACGAACAGTCTGTCTTTTTTCTTAGGCCGTTAAGCGAAACGCGCGAGACACGAAAATGACCACGCGCGAGACGCTATTTTTATCGATCATCAATGTTCTCAGTCGTCTCGATGTGCCCGCGGTACTCCCTCCCAGAGGAGGGAATTGAGCCTAGCTAGCGCTCTACTGGATCCAAAAGAAAGAAACTTACAATGCATGGTTACATAACAATACGTTCAGTAGTAGGAATGTAACAAATCAACAAACAAGGGGAGTAGTATTTTAAGTATTTTGCGAGAACTAACTTTTGCGATTGTTGAGGGACCGGTCATTATTTATGTGTGTGTGTGTGTGTTTTGGGGGGGAGGGGGGGGGGGGAATCATGGGGTGGGCTAGGCCTATTTTTTTAGAGAAAAGGGGTGGGCTAAAAGAGAATTTCACGATGATTGGGGGTGGGTCATTGTGTGTTCCAGACCACTCTGCACTTCCTGAATTTTTAATACTTGAGCGTTCATACTTCTTCCAATAATGATGAAAATGGCAAGAAGTGTATTCCCGATGTTTGGCAGCCACGATCAAATATTAAGAAGCTCTTCGAGCAAGGGAAGTTGTCAATTAATGCATCGGTTGCTATCACAGAATTTTCCTCCAAGTTCATTGTAGACGAAAAACTGGTGAAGAATTACATTTAGCACTTGTCGCACCTCTTCCCATACGTCCCTTGAGTGCCCCCCTGGTGGTTTTTCTGGGAAGACGGGGAAGACGGTCACGCAAGATCAGTACAACTTCCGCTCTTCATTTTCTCAATTTTCAATGCACGTTCATTTTCAATTTTACTAATAGGACGAGATTTTTTCCTTTCCTTCTTCAATATTTTGATAACACCCCGAGTTTTTCCGTAAGGCGACAATGTCCCTCAAAGGTAGAGACACATGAAATAACGCATTGAGACACGCGCCTTAATGACCGGAAGTTGAAGAGAAATCGAAATAGAGAGTGATACAGAAATGGTGAATATGTATGTGGCAATCCCTTGATTATCACGGGTTTCAACGTGATCTATTTTTTGTCTAAAATAGAACTGATGCCCATATAGAAAACAAAACATAATAAAACATACTAGAGCATCAAAATACCAAAACGCAAAATACATTTTCCGTCTCAGTTTTAAAACAGCCATACAAAAATGAGAGTTGCGCGTGTACAAATTTACCACCGTATCTTTGGTCGAAATGGAGGATGATTTTTTTCACATTCTTCGTGTTTCGAAATCATTACAATTAAAATAATAATTACGTAGCATCTTTCGGAAACAGCAAACGTGGAGATACAAAAGGAGACATCCAAAACTGATCTTGTAACAATCTGAATAATAATATGTTTATTTGGGCGCTATATATCTTTATTCTCAGGTAACTAAAACAATGAAAACATGACACTGAGCCGTTTTCATCGACAAAACTAGTCATTAAACAGAAATGAACGTAAAATCAACTCACACTTCTCCGTTTTTATGCGTATAAACACCATGCCCGTGTTTCTGGTTACATTTCCATTGCCCTTTGTACATGTCGCCATTTTGATAGAGATACGTTCCTTCTCCGTGTCTGACACCAAGACATGTTTGTCCGTCGTAACGCACTATACCTTCATAATCAGCCTTTTCTCCAGAGATGCACAGACCCATTTGTAAACGTTGCTGCTCTTTTCGACCTCCTTCTCTCTTTGCTTGGTTTTTCTTTTGAGGTGAAGCTACTTCCGCCGGGCCATTGCGTGACTCACAAAATCACGTGCCGATGGCAGACGCGGCCGCCTCAGAATGAATGTCACGCCCATCGTCACGCTTTCGCAATTCAAGTGAGAACAGTTCAGCTTACTCGCGTTAAATGCACCAGGACGCCCTAGAAAACGTTATTTGGTCTCCGTAGTTAGAATTTGAGTTGGTTGAGAAAATGGGGGAAAAGCCAAATTAAGATTCGCGGCAATTTCATGCGGCGCAATTGTTATCACTGACCCCATCCGAGGAAAAAATAACAGATTCCCATTTTTGGATTTTTTGGGGTTAAAGAATACCCACAAAAATCCCAAATTTGGAAGAGTGACACAAGTCCCAATCAGGGAACTTGGTTGGGAATTCCCTGGTTGGGACTCGTCTCACTTTGCCAAATTTGGGATTTTTATGGGTATTCTTTAAATACCCTAAAATATCCAAAAATGGGAATCTGTTATTTTTTCCTGTGCATTCTCGTAGCCTGCGAATACAGCCGTCTCTCCTCGCTCTCCATCGCTAGAGTCGTATTTGCAGGCTACCATTCTCGTCGTTGGAAATAAAGCCGTGTGACTCTGTGGGCGTAGACAGCAAAACAGTCCGTATTTTTCAAGTACGTGCGAGCGGTCAAACAAAAGGTCTGGAACGAGGCTGAAAACGGAGAGCGAGACTGGGGAGAGACGCGTTAACGCTCGCGCCCTTCGCGCGCGTAAAACTCTTACACCACGCTTTACCGATTTCTTTACCGACTGTTTTGCAGTCTACTGTGGTCCAGAATGTTTTCCAGTTATACCACCAATCGTCTCCTATAGGGCGTTAGTACCGGACAATTTGACAAGAAGTCACGGCGGCCATATTGGTATTCCAAAGCAATGAAACGGAGACCATGTTAGTGTTCCAAACCAATCCTGTGGGAGTTGAACTCTTTTAATTTCTTAAATTCTTTCTTTTGTGACGATATGCCGGCCACGTGAGTGAAAACGCTCTTTCCTTCGATGCTCGAGGAAAGCAACTGATCTATTTAAACAATGCCCACTGTGAGGCGGCCAATCGCAGCCCTTTCCCAAAATTTTGGGAAACCAGGTCTTATACACCGACTTCCCTTTTCAGCGAGTAACAAGGAAAATAGGAGACTTCTGCATGCAGGCTTACTCCTCCCAACAACACGGGTGGAGAAACTATTTACGGGATGACTAGAGTGTACATCAAGTCTGACGACTTGCCATTCCGACTTGTTTCATTAACGCCAGACGTCGGGCATGCTATGTGCCAGAGAACGAGGCAAACGAGTCGGGGAGGGGTAAGTCTCTCCAGTTCCCTTCTCGGCTAGGCGAGCGAAAAAAGCGGGTGAGCAGCGAAAAAGCAAACGAACGAAAAACTGCGGAAGGAGAAAAGGAGAGAGCCTGCTAGGATCTTTTTAAATTCCTCAGCCTACCAACTTCCAGAAGACTGTCTCTCGTGTTAAAATGTGCGGTGTAGGAGGGTTTCAAACGTTCGCCAGGTTTGTTTGACTCTACGCGCGAAGCCAAGTGATTGAATATCAAAATTGACCAATTATAGGGTACTCTTAGAGCTGGTATACCGGAATGAGGTATTGAAAACAATGCTTACAGACTCACTATCCCGTCTCTCCCCAGCTCCCACGTGCTTTTCCCTCAATTTTCGATCAGCTTTCCTCACTATCTTGGGGCATGGAACAAGCCAGACTGCTACGCCTGACGTTATGTTTTATCCAACTGGCCGCTGGACAAGAGATTGTAACTCCTATCACCTGAAAAGTCAGAGGGTACCTAAAGCCATCAACGCTGGTCTTAACATCATCGTTTAATGACTTTATTCTTTAGGGTGGTAGCATTAAGATAATTTGATCTATGATTATTTACAATTTCTTAAAAACACAACATAAGCGTTGTATGAAGTGAAGGCACGAGGATTTGAATTAAAATAGACGAACAAAGAGACTGATATGCGTAAATCCGAAGGATCCGTTCGCGATACATTCAATGTAAAAATACCATCCAATTAACTTAAAATATCTTTGTTTTAACGTTATAAATTATTATAAAATAAATAACCTCACTAAAGTCGAAAGTATAGTCTCGATGGACACGAAAAACAAATGTCTGAGATTTCTGTTCAGTTCAGTTTCGTTTACTAGCGGCCTTTACCAAGAAAAAGACGTAATATATACACCTTTGTAAATTTTACCATTCTACTGGGTCTCAAGGATGGTTGCATTTGCAGTTCGCAATGTCAAATTATGTCATCACCTATAAGATCTCAATTTTAGAAGATATAATTTTTGTGATGAATTTTTCGTTTGGATCTTTTTCGCGCGAGTAGGGGAATGCAAAAATTAAATTCAAAAACCTACAATACCATATGAGAGTATTTTTTTTATCGACCATCAAATTATTATATTGTTTAACCACAAACTGCTTTTTCCATGAACCAAGGGAAAGAAGAAAGATTTAGATTTATTGCAATGAGAAGAGCTGAGGTAGCGAAGTCTCCCAGAAGCGAAACATGCTTGGAAGGGTTCAGCTGATACTTGGTCCAGCCCGTCGTACGTATCAGTCAGCTCAGCTGTCACTCTTTCTGGTCGGGGATTCTCGTTTCAAAGACAGTCTGTAGTTATCTTCTTCGGAATTAAAGGATTCGTTTAAAAGAAAGTGCCGCACGAAGGGTCGGCTTACAAAGTCATATTGGATAGATGCAATCTGGTAAGCCCACAACTGTTTCTCTGTCCCTGAAATAACAACAAACAAGGATCGTTAACCCTTTAAGTCCCACTGGTGCTCAAAATCAATTTTCTCCTAACGATATCCATGGACTATCATGAGCAAAGTCTATGAGAATTAACAAAATGATCACAAAGAGAAAAATATTTGATCTTTTACCAAATTCTCTCAACCAATTCTTCAAGAAAATGTATGGAGATCAGTTTGGAGAATTTGTATGTGGATATTGGGACTTAAAGGGTTAAAAAAGATTTGAAATGAAAATCAGGAGTGATAGTAATAAAGACCTTTAGATTCAAGGACGAGTACGACTGCGAGGACGAGATTTAACTAAAACGTTTTTTCGCGTTTTCTCGAGAAAGAGAAACCCAGGAAAGTATCATTTCAACTTTTTTCCACCAGAAAAGTTAACGGTTTATTAAGGAAGGTTTAGCCCTCTCCCAATCGCAAAATGATAAAACTTCTAACATTTGATAACTTGTTTCCGCCACTACGTAATTCTCGCTAAAACTCGTAGCAGAATGACAACGGCTATCACGTTTTCCCGCCAAAATAACGCTGGTCCACGAGCGCGTGCTATTTAGTACTTTTAGTATTTTTACTTAGTAAAATCTCGTTCTCGTCGTCGACCTCGTCTTAGAATCTAAAGCTCTCTAATAAGATATTCCTCCCTCCAGAGACCTCAAGGAGACTGGGAGCCAGATTTGAGTATAAAAGTTTCTGACATACTTGGCGTAATGAGAGTAAGTTTTGATAGGCCGCTTTTTTACACAGGTAACCATTAACCAAGCAGCGCTTTTATTAGTAACCAAATAGAGCCACAGAAACCTCAGAGCCAAAGTTGGTGCTCAGCCTTTCCGAAATTTTTCCCAAAAAGAAAAACATGCGCTGACACAACGCTTAGCTGGTGAAAAGCGAAAGAGAAGAGGTGGAGTCAGAAACGCGGGAAAGCATTTGGGGAGACGCAAGCGAAAAAGCGCATCTGATTGGTCGAGAAAACACAAACGTAATTTGAATGGTTAGGTAAGAAACAGTCTTGTATTCCCGAGAGTCCTTATGTTTCCCGAGAAGGAAGGGTTTTGTTACATTCCTAGACTTTAACTTAAACAGCGACAAAGAGTAAAGAGTGAATGACTGAAAAAAATGTCGCTCATTCTTTTTCGACCTGCTGTTTCTCTTCTTGGACAACTTCGAAAATCGTTGCTTTTAAGCTTGATGCTCCTGCATATTTGTGTTGTTGTGTTCATAACGAAAGTGAAAACTGGCAGTGTTTTCTCACGCCACTTTTCACCACGCTTCGATCACCTGCTGTTGTATTACTATCGGGATACATTTGAATTTCGTCAAGGCCACGTGACCAAGAATCAACCAATGGTAGTCCCTGTTTATGAAGATAACAATTCTGTTTGATAACTAACCTGATTGTATATCGTAATTACTGCCATTTGACGAATCCTCCACCAATGAGTTATGACTAGACGAGCGTTTGACGTTGACCTCAGGTGATCTATTGAGAGAGTCAGGGCTGAGTCTCCCGCCCAGGACATCTTCTTTGACAGACGGACTACTTTGAGATTTGGCGAGTCTATCCGCGAACGCTTTCATACTGTTCGAGGTCTCGGTCTGCACCGAAAGAGTGCTAAGACTCATTGTAAGCTTTTCCGAAGATGGTCCTCGCGATACTCGACCTTCTTTCACAGACTGACTGCTCGGAGTCCTTCGGACAAGTCCCTTGAGAAACGAGCGCCGAGTTTCTCCTGTTTTAGTCTCCGACAATCTCCTCTTCGGTGTTTTGAGTGATAAAGGTGATCCGTTCTGTTTAGGAGGTGATGTTTCTGATAACCTCCTAAATAGCGAAGGTCTACTGGGCGTGCGCACGCTGCAGTTACCACTGGTAACGTTACGAGGGCTCGAGTTCTCGTTAAGGGAGTTTGTACTGGTGATGACTGAATCAGTACTCGCATTAAGTCCGTTTTGTAAGTTACCATCAGGAATATCCAATACTTCAGCACTATTGTTCCTACTGCGATTTAACATAACACCACTGTCACTGATGCTTTGTCGAAATTTGAATAGTCTGCTGCGTGACGGCGTCCGCTTAACCTTTGCGTGACGCTTATCTCTCGATTCTAACGTTACATTTCCTTTCTCACGCGTGTTACGCGGAGACGCGTCTTCGTCGCATCTGTGCGCAGTCACTCCATTCCGTCTCGGAGTTTCCCCATTTATCACAGCTCCATCAGTGCGGTCGATCATCACAGAGTTCCTCTGTATATGAGGAGACTGTTTTCCTCTCGCCGACGTTCTTTTCTTTCTGTAAGCCAGGTAAGTGTTTGTCTGTGCAATTTCAGTCAGGAAATTCCCAAGGAATGGCAAACACGCACCATTCTCTAAACAGCTGGACAGTTCTGAGCGGTATAAGGAAAAATTTTCGCTTTCTCCCATGAGAATGGACAGGTCACGAAATTTCCTAAGAAAGGCAAGGAAATAACAATAAATATGCCACAACAAGAGCTCCAAAACAACAATAACAACAACAACAACAACAAGAATCGCTACCTTCAGCAGAGGGGATGGGGCATGGGGTTACTTTTAAGAGGTTTGTTATTTTCAGGGAACTGGTAACTTTTAAGACATAATCAAAATAACGTCAGCACAAATGTCCTCCGTGAAATTTCGCTTTATTAATGTTGAAACTCTGAGTAACCGAGAATAACCGATAACGGATAACTTAAAGACCTAAGAACGACAATTTTAAAACACAAAATGAATTTTCAAGCAAAACAAGTATTTAGATCAAGCCACTAACGTTCATTATCTTTGAGTTAAAGCCATTTACAATTATCTGTCTCAATTATCTGTCTGTGATGAGCATTTCAGCCGATCTTTGAGTTCTCTCTTTCTGAGTATTGACAAATAAGGGGAGATCCCCCGGGGGGGGGGGGGTCGTTTTCTCCCAAGGGTTATCACTTTCGAAACTTTTCGGTACGATAAAACATTACCGTTACAATAGCCTAAAAATAGTTAATTATCCAATGGGAAGGGTGGCTTACTTTTTTCTTTTTGAAGGCACTTCTTTCCACGTCTCTCTTAATCTGTAGACCGGCGTGGACTGGAGACCAGCCAACAAAGCTTTTAATGAATTGAAGTTTCCTAAAAGATGACACTTCTCGGCGATCTAGAAACAACATTAATCATGAGTTTCTTAATATATTCGCGACTTCAGTCAAACAGGATCTTTATAGCTGAAAATACACACGCTTTATAAAATAAGGAACAACAACAACAAGAACAAACAAACAGTAGAAATCGGTTACAATGGACGAGAGATAATATGAAAGGAAAAGCGCGGAAAAGCCGCAACCGAGTTTAATTAATAATGGTCACAGGACTGAGAGGAGTCCAGTTCGGTCTGTAATCATACCAGTGATTAACAAAATCGGACGACCGCGTAAGGGGGAGTCTGTTTCGTTTAATCACGGGTATGATAACAGACCAGAATTAGACGACACTAAAACAAAATTTGTTATATCTTAAGCTTTTCCAAAATTGAAACACAGGATCTTCCTAGAGTTTTTTTTTGCTATATGAACAAATAAAAAGCCATTCAAAAGCTCGTGCAGAATGGCGCGTATTGTCCAATAGGTCACTTCCGAGTTCCAAAAACCGTCACTTTCAAAATGAGGGCAAGTGCACAACCTTTCTTGTAAAAATGAGGTTTATTTGCATGAGAATGAAGATTATGTTTCATATCAAGGGCGGAGCACTTAACCTCACTTTGATTCAAAGGCCCGTGGGAACTCGGAAATGGCCTATTACTTAGGCCTGACGCGTACTATCCTATTACACTATCCTATTAGTACTGAAATCAGAACAGTTGATAGCCAATCAGATTTAAGAATTTTTTTAATAGTTATGATTAAAGGCGGGACAAAGTGTTGCCGGTGGCAAAATTGGATTCGGACAATATTTATCAGATTACATTGTTATTACAAGCCTGTTCTAGGCGATTAGTAGTGAAGCGCAGGCGGAAATAGCGCGAGCAACAAGGAAAAAAAAGCGTAGTGAGTCTCCCCAGAAGCATGGATATATAAACTTTTAGATAAATACCTGGATAACTTTAGAAATCGCCCTCGCTCGTCCGCAAGTTGTGTCTTGGGCTAAAATTTCAGAAGCTGCTAAAAGTGCCACGCGGTTGAAGAACTCTACCATAGCCATAACGTTTGGCGAGGTGACGTACTGAAATGGGATCCAAAAATCGCATTAAATACACTTTTAAGAAGACAAGTCAATAACATAATTTAAAATATTCGTCAACAAAAAGGAAGGCATGTTTCCGAAGTCGAACTTAACCTGTGCCAAATCAGCGAAATGAGCGCGAAAATAGATTTTCCTCACTCGCAAGATTCCCAGGGGCCCGTTCCCTATAGACTCGATAACTGGTGGGCCAGAAAAGCTGTTGCCGTTTACATTCAAGATCGAGGTTTCAACAGCTTTGCAAGCAATATGTTGAAGCTACCGGTTAACAAAACAAAAAGTTACTGGTTTATTAGCTAGGATCTGCACTCTTATTCTTCAGATTTTGAATTGAATATTTGATTTCGGGCCCGAAAAGTTAACGGGACTTTCGAGAAATGGACCCCAGTACCCATAGGTGTGAACTTGTTTTTCGTATGAAAAGGAACTTTACCTTGTCTTTCGTCATCCAGCCACAGTTCGCTAGCTCTGGCCACGGAATCCTAATGAAAAGCTCCTTATCAATGAGCGTGATTTCCCGCGCAAACAGCGATGCATCTATATCAACCAGTCGCGGAGAGAGATCTGGGAGGATGCCATCGACGGCTTCAGGGGTCTGAGGAGCCTCGCCTGCTGGACTAGTTACCTGGTTACTAAATTCTTCTTCTTGGGAGTTTGATTTAAAGATAGGCGATAGGATTTTCTTGACTAGCCTTTTCTTTCTCATACTTCCTACAATGAGGGATAAACAAATTGAAATGTTAACAAACACATCGTAAGAAGCTCGCATCTCTTGCATGCTGCCTCAAGCAGCCGGCGTCGCTGTTTGTTTGAAAAATCGCTTTTTATAAATGCACAAGCATAATCAAATTGTTTTGAAGTCGGAATCGCTTTAATTTACAAAGGAAAAGCGATAAACGCCCTAGCTTAGCTCCAGTTAAGTGCTTCCGGCAATGCCGCGGTATCAACATGATCAACAATTTGGTTCGCAGGCTAGTCTAGACGCTCTATAAAAAAGCCTTGTCGTGGCCGCCGCTTGCGGCCCCAACAATTAATGCTAGTGGAAAAAAGACCACCAACAGACTGAAGAAGTTCAATTAATAGAAAGAAACTAATTGAAGAGCTGAGCAGTGTCACTTTTTCGTCCGAAAGCTGGGATATCTTTCACGCGAAATCATACCTAGAACCTTCTTTTTTCGCTCTGTACATGAAAAGAAGTTATATAACTGTCGATTGCATGAATGAACTCCTCAGATAATACTGTGCCGTCATTTATATTGTGCAAGACGGTCGGTCAAAACGTCTGTCCTTCATTAAGTATGAGCATATAAATAAAAAGCACGGCGAAATATGACTGTACCAAGTGGACGTCCACAGTACACTCGCTAGTGTCGTGCAGGTATTGTCCACTTTATTCAAGTCGCTTTTGCAAAAAATATTGGAAGTAAAAGTTGAGATTTATTGATGTTGTGTAACTTGATACAGGGTTTAGGCTTAATAACGGGTCGGCTTGATACAGGTCTCAGGATATAATAAATGAACGCTTTTGAACATTACTGTTGTGTAATGATGTTGATTCTTTGACATAACCAAGTGAGGCGTGATCCTGGTTCCACTATATGAACGTTTTTTTCACAAGGGATCGTCTAAGTTGTTCTAAGCAACCAAGCTGGGCCTAAATTCCACGCTGTACAACAGTACTTGTACAGTTCGATTCCTACGTGACTCGCCTAGGATAAAGATTTCGAGTAAATTGGAAAGAAAGGAAATTGCGGTGAATCGGAAAAAGAATAGGAACAGGGAAAATTACCGTGTTTGAAATGCCAAACGAATGATAACACAAGGAAGTCTCTCCCAAATAAAAAAAAAATTCCACTTGGCTCGTCTGAACAGAACAACAATTCGACTGAAATACATAAAGGAAAAAATTGTTGGCAAGAGCAATTAGTTCTACGGCCGGCCGAAAGGTAATAGTTTTCGATTTGAATAACGTAATGACAAAATCTCTGACCGCAAACGTTAAAAGACCAAATAGCAAGTAGAGATTTATAAATAAACTTACTGCGAGGTCGTGCAACTACGCGATGAAGCAGCAAAACAACTGTAGACATTATTGGATCAAGCGGTACTGGTCTGGGCAACGAACTATTAATTTCATTGTTAAGACTTGGAAGAGAGACAAAAAGTCAGTCAAAAGGGAGGAAATCGAATAACAATAGTTAACATGCCTGCTGTCATCTGTATAGAACGATCTTGAAAATTCTTACGTCACGAAAAAAAACAGAAGTTGTTCATATTTCTAAGGGATACGAGAATCATTAGTTGGCGAACAAAGGGATTTTTAATCCTGTTTACCGAATGACGCTGTTTGACGGGAGAACAGAAGAAAGGTCGAACATAACGGAGAGAGCGGAAGTTGGCTCAAACTGGCATTTTGCCTTATCTTACCACAAGACAAAACAGCCACCATCAGAAGTCACGCAACATGTGAATTTTTTTCCACAAAACTGTCATTTAACCTCAGACAAAAGTGGAGAAACTAAAAATTACCCTTTTTTTGTCCCAGTGAAGGTTATTTTCTGGAAAGAAGGAAGTCCAAAACAATTTAAATAAAAACAACTTTTGGAATAACAAATTTTAAAATATGCATCTAAAAGGTATTTGCTAGAAAGTTGGCGCGGAAAGAAGCCTATCGCGCATAGATTAGAATTAGAGATGGATCACTGATTCGTATAAGGGGGGCTATAACCACAAAAAATTCCCTACAGCTTTTAAAAAAGAAAACGATATAATTCGTTAAAAATATTTTACAAAATGGAGAAAAGTCACGTATTTTGTTTTGTCAGCAACGAGAAACATCTAAGCTGAAGAAAGTTCAAGGCCTCAAACATAATACAAAAAAATTAAACTGGGATGTTAACGCCTTAGGCTTAAAACTATCACTCAAACTAGAAAATAATAATAAAAGATAATGATAACTACCAAGGTCAATAACAAAATTTTTTGAAAAAATACAGCTGCTTATTGGCGCTACTTTGGCTATCATATCAGTGAAACTTAAGGCTTTCATCCAGCTTGCACAAACTATTGTGCAGCTCACTGAAATTAGGCAAAACTTGAAGTTCAATCGAAACTTCAAGTTCTCTACATGAGAAGCATGCAGAAACAATTTATTCAGCACGGTAAACCACAGGACTTCTGTAAGACCGAAGTCGCATGAATTAGCTAACAAAGCAGATTATTCTGAATTAATGATTGCTAGTACCTTCTGATGCCTTAGATCTTATGAATAGATAATCAACCCCTATTTTTTTTAATTTTTGACCAAGTTGAAAAACATTTCACCAAAAGGGTATTGATAAAGCAAAACAAAACAAAACAACAACAAAGTTGCAATTTGAACATTGTATCTTGCATTAAAAGCCTTAGCTAACCTAAAAGCTACTGATACTTCAGATTCAACTCCATCATGTACTTAAAGTTTCAGAATAATCAGATGGCTAATGACACCAAATTATCAAGGCCAAGGCAACTAACCTTAAATGAATATTAATGATATGTGAGACCTTATTATATCTTTGGGTATGTATATCCACTAAAAAAAAATGCTAGAATTAAGCTAAAGAAGAAAATATAAGATAGCGGCAAAGTTTTCTACTTGGTGTTTTCTTCTTGATTTTAAGTGCTGGAATCCAACACTTTCCCACTCCTTAATTTTAAAACTCCACGGCAAGCTTTATCTATTACTGATGCTGATATCTTACGTCTGCTCTTTTACAATTTATATATTTATTTTGATCAAAAAATAAATGATACAAAAAGTAAGATTTTCAGAGGCGGATTTAGTCTGCGTAGCAGGAACAGGTAATTGTCTTCTTCCTTCGCCTTACATAAGACAAAATGAACCTCACTTACCACTGTAAGAGAAATGTGACTTCCCAACTGGAGTGATGTCAACAGATGTTATATCTGAAAAAAAAACATCAGAAATATTTGCATATGTCATAAAACAAGCAAAGACATAGTAAATACATTATTTAAGAGGTTAACTTAAAATTCTGTATGGGAATTCAGTTTCTCCGTACTGCTTTCATTTACTAATGATATTGTACTTTTATCTATTTATTTCATTATTTTTTAGTAATTTATTTTTCTTCTTGTTATTTGTACAGTGGTTAATAGATTTTTAAACTAAGCTTAACCTAAAAAAGGCAATGGAAATAAGTTATTAGAAATGAACCTAAATTTGGAGTGCAGCTAGGTATAACCTGTGATATAAGGTTTAATAAAAGTTCTAAGGTAGCATTAATAATTTGATAATAATTTATTACTTCTTAAGCACTATTTACAAAAATAGGTCAGTAGGCATAATATTGATTTTCCTTTGCTATATCTTTATAACTCCTAGGTGACAAAACATTGACAAAGACTTCAAGAATTTCCACAGACTATCGAGCAAAGATGCCTGCTGTTCAAGGAATTACTATAATATTCATGATCTAAAAATTGTAACTCTAGACAAGCTATGCTACATAATTAGGTAATTATGAGAATGCCATGCTAAGTGATAAGCACAAGCCTCTGTTACAAATTCCATCAACTGTAAAAATGAATTGTCTACACCATAATATTTACCTTAGAAACAACAAGGAAAAAATAGAAAACACAGTGAAAAACATGGATTAAATGTCACATTGATAGAGAAACCACACAAAATGACCAAATTCCACTTTTCCTTGGAATAACAATACCAAGGAATCATATTGTCTTGCTCTGTTTCGGTAAAATTACAATTTTGTTCTGAATGAAAAAACTGATTAAAGAAATTCCTTACCTTTTCCAAGATCAAAATTGAAGTAAGAAGCAGGAATGGAAAAGCAAAACGGATTCTCTTTGTGTTTGGAAGGAGTTTGGTAAAGTGTTGGGTCCCTGAAAAGCTCCACACAAGACTGGTTGAGGACATATTTCTTCTTTGACCCAGACCACATGCTAATGCCTCCAAGACTCTTGATATTGTTTAGGGAAAACGAGCTAAAGATATCTCTTTCAAACATTGGACAGCAAAGCTCTTATCTTAAGAATCCATATTGAAAGAACTGGCTGGTTGAACCATACGAAAAAGAAATAGAATGGGCTGAATTGTGCTTGGTACAAACTGAAACCAGCAACTAACTTAGTTTGTTTATACACCATACATCCGGATGATGACCTCACACATGTGGCATTTAATCTTGTCAGGAATGCTAGAATCTACTAGTATTGATTTCACCTACAAAGTGCATCATTATTTCAGAGTATGTCTAGTATTGCTTTCTTTACATCAATATTACAGGCAAACCAAAACATATTATTAGCCAATAATCAGTAGTCAAGACTTGTTCTGTTAGAATCAACTGAGTAACTTTCCAAAATATCCCTCATCAAAAATCATCATTTTGTGCTGTCTGTTTTTCTGAACAGAGGACAGCATTGTCTGACCCTTACAACCAAACACGAGTGAACATTATTGGCATTCAATAAGGCTTCCTGGTGATATGATGTCATTACATAATGTGACCCTAAACACGCAGTCTGCAGGGAATCGCCCACAAAATACCAGCATGTGTCATCTTCCCTGATCTTGGATTAACCACTAATTGAGGATCAGGAACACTTAGAATACTTAAATACCAAAAAAACCTAATAAGTGAAGTCTTTTTTAGCCCTAAGCTTCAACATATCTTGACAATTCCTGAGACAAACCAAAATATTTGGAAAAGACCACAGACAATATATAGGCCAATTTTAAGAGAAATAAATATATTATTCTTGCATGGTTTCAAACAACTGCAAGCTAACGTGACTACTTAAACGGTTAATTTTAACAAATTTTAATATAAATGGCATATGGCTTTTTCCTTGATAAAATAACCTACTGATAAGATTTGGAGCTCAAAAAAGCATACCCCAAATCCAAATGATTACTGCACGTGCAGTCACATACCATTAACAACAAAAACATTTGGAGAGTTTTTTGCTGTGAGTGTCAAGATAACTTAAAAATTCCTTAGAAAAAGACTTGAATGACAGCATATAGGCCAATTTCTAAGTTAAATGTTATAATACAAGGTTTAATACAATACAAGGTAATATTACAAGGTTTCACACAACTTAATTACAAACCAATCTCATCAAGTAAATGTTTAATTCTAACTAATTTTTTTTTTTTGGAAAGTTAGGTATACACTGACTGTTGTATACAGCTAGCTAGCCAAACATGGAACATTTATCTCGTTAACAGAAAAATCTAAAAATACAGTTAGGGGCTCCAAAACAAATATACCGGAACACGGAACCCAAATAACTGACAAAAATACTGTCTCATACCACAGGGAAAAAGATTAAACACACTTGTAAATACTATACAGAATATATTTCCTTGGTGGATTATGTGGATAAAATAGAGAAACAGGAAAGCTGTTTTATTTATATTTATTAGGAGAGGGTAATTTTTTCCCAATATGTTGTACCTAACGCAAGCCTTGACATTCCCCATATAATTTTATAGCTGTAAGGATTTATCACGTTAGTAAAACCATGTAGTAAAGCTCGTCACTCCTACAATAGTCATCAATTTTTTTAAAATAATTTGGTTGATTTCCCTTTGCCAATGTTGATTTGGTTATCAATGTCATCTCTCTGCATCTAAATACATGTGCCTCAACATTAGGGAAGAATAGCGACAATCTGAGTGTGAACAAAGGAGCCAAGGGCAAATGGAAGACATGTTGTGAAAATTCACAACTATTTCATTGATTTTCATTGATGTAAGCAAAGGATGTAAGGAAAGAATAATTATAAGTCAATCTGACTTTCAAGTTTGTAGATGAAATCCCAATGGCATTACCATTCAAATGAAACCTCTTCAGCACAACATCCGCATAGTACTATTAATACTTTTTTACTTTTTTGAAGAAAAAGAAGAAATTTATTTCTTTGGTAAATTTTTTACTTTGGTCATTATTAGAAGAGAAAGGATTAAAAATGAACATTATACTTTTGCATTTAAATTAAAATGTCAGAAATGCACGCATTAACAAGAGATAAAACAAGAGGTAAAAATTCAACAACAAAATACTACAATGCTGCATTTGTCTTAACATTTGAGCACCCATGAAAAACAGCAATCTGGCAGCATTAATAAAATATTATTCAAACTAAATGAATGAAACAATAGAGGGGCGATGAACCAGCAAAGAAGCAACACAAAAGCAGTAGAGCGATTAATAAGAAACAGTAAGCCAAAAATGAATAAATAAATAACTAAAAAAGACCGATTTCTCTAATAAAGACAGAATACTTACTTCTTGTAACAGTTTCCTTTTCTTTACATCAATGATTCAAGAGACAATTACAAGATACGTTCTATTGATATACTGGAATTTTTTCAGCTCAACCCTTCACTTTCTCAGAAACCAAAATATAACCTTAGACAGCACATCAAAATTCACTAAGAAAAGTTCCTCTGTATGGTTTAACTCATACCAACATCAAGCTTGTGTTTAATAAACAGTATAATTATATCATGTGCTTTTTTTCTAAATTAAAAGTTCTGAAATGTTTCGTAAAAGAAATACATTTTGAAAAATAAAAAAATGCTCTCATGAGCTGCAATCAATAGGGTAAAAAAAGTTAAGAATTACAACTCTTTAGCTATACAGAAAGCAAAACTCTTGCATGGTTCTTTGCTAACAGCAGTCTATATGCTGTAATATGTTAATACTATTTTTAATAGCCAGTGACAAAATATCCAAATTAAATAACCTAATGTTAAATCTGACACACACACAAAATAAAAAAAAACCCGAAGTATTCTTTCAGATCCAGGGAGACAAAGTCATTGTAAAATATTAAGATAGAATGCTCAATACAGAAAATGTAGTGGTATCTGGGACAATTGCTTAAAATGAACTGTAATATCAGACATCCATGGAACTGCTGTTGTCTGGTGTTTATATAGAGTTTAACTAGGATGTACATCAGGCACTAGCTGTTACAACTGTTGAATTTTTTTTTTTTGGCAAGCAACTTGCTTGCAGTCCTGTTGATTCCTCCTGGAGTGGAGGTGACAGGTGACATGGCCCTGAAAACTGGCAGCAAACTTCTCAGAAAGAACCGACCATCAACAGAAAAGGAGGAAAGAATTCTGACAGTGTCAATCTATTTTAGTGAAAGCGACATCTGATGTCTGTTACCGGTACATTTTGGATGTTTTGGTAGGGAAATAACAATCTCTCTTTAATTATTTCAAAAGCTTTTCTTGAATTTCCTGTTATTTTCTTTGAATTGTTTTCTAATGTTGGTATCATTGAAGAATGATCCCTCCAGGGAGAAAGGTTATTTCTTTCCAGGCGCTATATCTAATGTAAATTCCAAAATCAAGTAACACAAAAATTTATGCTGAACCGACAGCAACATTTTGCTTAAGTTTGACAGTGACATTTAATTTCCTAACTTACTAGGTGACAGGCAGTCTCAGAAATGACAGACAAAGCAACAGCAAACCCTCCCTCGTAAGGCCTAACATTTTGGTTTGGGATTTCTGCATTCACGCCATTCTGTCCCATTGCTTCCTCATTTTGAAGACCTATCTTCCCCCAGGTGCACATGTAGGTACTGGTGGTACACTTCTAGGAGCAACCCTGCCATGGCCTTACATTCTGACCAAGGGAGAGATGTAATACTACTACATGTAGGTGCTTCATGCTACAGAGAATGGAATAAGCTCAGGCCATATATAGGCCCTATGGCTTGTAAGTGCCTTTACCATTTTTAATGTTTTTGCTTTATGACCACTCCTCCTTTCACATCATACAGAAAAAGTAGTTTCCGGCCACAGTTACTGAGATGACTAAGTTCTTAAATTCTCAAACTGAAATCACATACTGCCAACTCTGGCCTTTGGGACACTTCACAGCTCACTTTTACAAATACCCCAAAATTACAGACAGTAGCTAAATGCCTGCAGATGCTTCTCTCAAGTAAGTTCCTGTAATTACAGACTCCTCACTGTTAAGGACACTATCTTGCCATCTGGAGGGTGTCTACGATAAAGTGAGTTGACAGTATTGTAATAAGAATTTAGGAAATAACCATGCAGAGACTACTTTACCCACCTTGTTTGTTTTGAGTTTGTGTTGTAATTCCTTCTTCTTTAGCTGATGCTAAGTATGACACTTTATGATTTGGTGTAGTAAAATTGCCACTGAGTCCTCCACGGCGAGTGCCTCCTCCAGGACCAATATGAGAATCAGAATCAGTAACCCTTGATGAACTGCTTTCAGTATTTCTAATACTGGTTTGATTTTCTTTCAAGGAATCATCAGATTCTGCTACATGCATTCGTAATTTTGGTCGCTTCTTGTAAAGCACTGACCAGAATCTCTTGATTTTTTCTTTACGCGGTGGCTGATCACTGTCCTCCAAAGTGACAGCCATGTCATCTTTGAAATCTAATTGTCTTGCAGTACTTGTCTTGGTTTCCTTTTCTAGCACAGAATGAACAACAGCTGCAAAATCAGGTCTTTTAGAAACTGGCAAAGAGTCTGAGTTCCCTGCTGAAGATTTTTTAGGACTAAGTGAACGATCACGTGTTTTGATCTCATGTTTACCAGAAGACTTTTTATTTTCGTCAAATAAATCCTTTTTGTTGTTTAAAACAGGGCTTCGTTTATCTGATGGCATAGGTATACGGTTCGCCTCATTGCCCATGGCCTGTTGGAGAGAATGCTTACGTCGGTGCTTGGGCGTGGTCTTGGACTCCCAAGTAGCCTCATCCCTTTTACCCCCTCTCACAAAATTCAGGTTTGTTGGATGCGACCGCAGATCCTCCACCCTTTGTTGTAAGGTTGCCAGGGCTGTATTTTGATCGATGCTTTCTCCCTCACGGGAAAACAAAGTTGATGCGTTTAATCTCAGTTTTGGATCCTCTCCAGTACTATGCCCTCGAGTTCTACATGACACAGGCCTCAAATCGGCATCGACGCGAACGTTCTCCAATTCACCAACATTTGGCAACGATGGACATCGGAACGGCTTCACAAGAGATAGCCGAGGATGTGAATTAGATCTACACAAGGATCCAGCATTAAAACTGTCAAATATATCCTCCAGATCGCTTCCACAGGAGCTTGCAAGACTAGGAAGAGCGGCGTGATGGTGTTGTGAAATAGCGAGTCTACGGACTTTGCTCGGGTTGAGCAATGACACAGACCATGTAGAGATAGTTCGATCAACAGCCAACGTTAAAGTGTACTCTGGTATTTGAATATCTTCGCTATCATCGTCTTCGCTATAGTCATCGGAATCAGAGTCGTCGCCAATTTCGCAGATGGCATCAGACGGAATCATCTGAAGCCCTTGAGTTTCTTGCACGCTGAAACTTCGCAACCATTTGGGCCATACTTCATCTTTGCCGCAAAGCTCGTACGTTTTCCATACTGATGTCTCTTTGCTCCACTTAGCTTTAAAAGTAAAAGCGCAGCCGTCGCAAACTTTGATTACTACGTCGGAGCGTCGAAATTTTGAAACTGTTTTCCCCGACTCGTACTGCAAGACATACGCTTCAGAATCTCGTCTGTCGCGCATTTCTTTCACAAAAACAAACTCGTCCGTCAATAAAATATGAACTGTCTTAGAATAATGAAGCTGGTTATCTAGCTCTAAAAACTCGCTCTCAATCAAAACTTCACCGTCCGTGATCGTAGACGTTCCGCTGGGAAAGCCATGCGGCAGAGGACTTAAATTTATGTTATTGTTCGCGCCACAACGATTCCTTTCAACATCTGAAGCCATGTTTTCGTCTTCCTGGAGTAAACTTTGTTTTCAAGGCGTCACCCCGTTCTGAAGCGTGTACTGGAAGACAAAACAATCACCTCTGAAGCTAGATAGTTTCATTATTGTTGTTCCAAATCGACAGATCACGCCGTGTAAATAAGAATGAATGGATCGCCCAACCGCCATATTGCTTCTATAATCCTGATAAATTATTCATTTTATGACGTCAGGGGTCGACTGAATAATTAACCTCACGTACATCCTTCCTGATATTCAATCTGGTAAAAGGAAAAAAGCCTATTTTTTTCCTTGAGAAAATTCATAACAACGCCTTAGGTAATTTGTATCAAGGCTTCTTAGCAAAATACATTCAATTAAGATTAAGGAAAGATAAGGTCTACCATGAGTTGATAGTATTTAATAGGACCGAAAACTTGATATATTAAAGCTGCTTACCGAGATCATCCATCTGCTGCCAAATGAAAATCAAGTAAAAAGAAAACTTCTATAAATATGGAAATTTGCATTTCGGCTTAATCGTTGGTACCTACGTTTTTAACTTACTCAATTAACCTTCCTTTCCTTCTGTCTTATATTGTTATTATTATTTCTCTCATTTGTTTTTTAGCTTTTAATATTTTTTAATACATTTCGATTTCGACCGAGTTATTTCTAATAGTCATCGGCTTAACTTCTAAGGGTTGCGCACTCAAAGAACTTTTCCATCTTCCATGTTTTGACTTCAGAGTCTGTGATGTGGTAGCTAAATACAAGGCATTAAAACAACACAAGACAACGCGCAAGACTGAAAACACTTCGGTTTAAGCTTCTTGCACGGGTGTGATCATGGATATGGTTACCTTTTTCAGGGACAAAAACAAGAATATCATACATTAAGGATGCGTTTAACACCGAAATACTCTTATCTGTAGCAACTACTGCTTTTTAAGCTACTTTATTGGAAGATAAACCGCCCGCTTTACCCCGGCCCGTTTTTGATACATAACGGCGGGACCCTGAGCTTGCGCGTCAGCATTAAGTGCGCAATGTCGATCGTCTCGTAAATAGCTTTGACCGCCTCTACTGAGTTAGATAAAATGCATCAGCAAGTAAAACTGCTAATAATTAAGAAAAGGGAATGAGCTACTGCTGTTTTGACGGCTTGTTCCTTAACTACCCGGGAAAACAGGAAAATCGACTGGGGAGAGATAGGCGCCCTAACCGAGCCATTTCCGAATTGTCTCACGCCTCTGTTTCAAAGCAAGGCGTAGTGCAAAGCCATTGTTATGAAAACGATTTCTCATTCTCATGCAAATAAAACTCATTTTCACTAGAAAGGTTTTGCGCTTAGTCTGGTTTTGAAAGTGACAGTTTTTAGAACTCGCAAATGGCTATATTCGGCTATGAGCGTTTTCACATGACGTCACGGTGGCCATATTGGTGTCCCAAAACAATGAAACGGCGGCAATGTTGTTGTCCCAAACCAATCCTGTGGGAGTTGAACTATTTTCTTATGCAAACGCTTTCTTTTGCTCCAATAAATTTGCATAGATGCTGGCAACGTGAGTGAAAACACTCCATATGTTATATATGTATCTGTGCCACTGTGCGCGTGTGTAAAGTACTGGCCGGGAGATCATTCTCGACCCTAGTGCTTACGGGAATGCGCGCGCTCTTGATCTCTCTCCTCTACAAGCGCAGAAGAGCTCTAGTCGAGATTGGCCGGGGGATATGATTCCTCTGTCGCCTTTGGCTCCATTTCCTCGATAGCTGTCTCTTGGTTCTTGTAGTAGCACCCTTTAACAGCCCTTAGTCCCTATCCCTTTTGGCCGTGAGAGGAGGTGGGACGTACTCACATCAGTGGACCGGTGTGCCGCTGTATAAAGATTACAGTTTTTTAGTAAACCAGTCGATGGAATTACTTGCTTGGCTTAGTTAGTCTCCTCCGTAGCTATGAGTTGTGTCTTCATGCAGCTTAATTTTTCTTAAGTTCTCCGGAAGTTTAGTTCATTGTGCGTGAAAAAATGAAAAACAAAAAACAGGCAAGAAAAATATAGCAACACTGAGTTCAGCAAGGTATTCAAGTATTGTTATCTAGAATTAAAAGTTTTCTCTCTGCAGGCTGTTTACTGTCAGTAGAGAGAATTGTTTTCTGATACGACGAACTTGACAGAGATAGTAGAACGCGCCGTCGCAGTTCTTGGATATGAACAGTCACGTGAGAGTTGAACTAAGCCCCCAGTTGCAGACGACACAGTTGTAACATCAGCTTCACCAGCCTTGATTCTCCTTAACCAGCTGCTGAAGACTGCTAATCAACAGAAAATCCGTCCGCGCCGTAAGGCTGATTTAGCAACAGAAAGGGAACGTCAGTTGACGACGGCGGGCGCAAATCAAACAACTAGCTTGACCAATGGCAGAGCGGCAAATTAGGTACTGGAAGTCGAGTTTAGTTCTTTCCGCGCGCTCCTGCTAAAACAGCCTTAATGCCTCTGATCAAGACGTACTAATTCCTAAGAGCCGCACAAAGCTCTTTCAGTTTAATCAAAAATAAAACACAAACAGCGGTGACAATTGTGATCTTTCACATTTTTACAAACTTGAAGTTTCGTTTGCTATTCAACATACATTTTTAAAAGTGATCTTAAACGACTGTTAAAGAAAATGTCGAGACTATATATTCAAAAATTTACAAGGGGCCTGGAAATGAGATTAACAATTTAAAAAATTCTTAACAGTAATGAATACAAAAGGCAACAGCTAATAAGCATCAGCTTTTCACTGCTGATGTTGACACTAAAAGCTGGCTTAAGGTCTCGTATAAACAATGTCTCTTTTATCTTTCAATGATAATCTGTTTTGCCAAATGCTAAGATTTCAAAGTGATCCCACTTAATGTTATGTCCGTGGCTCTGACATGGTCAGCAATAGCTGAGGAGTGATCAGTTTTTATTAGACACTTGAAGTGTTCAGTCTTCCTAGCATGGAGCCGTCGCTTAGTTTTACCAATGTAAAAATCATTACAATACCAACAACAAGTTTTGTAAATGACTTTGGATCTTTGAGAGCGATTAAGGCGATTAACGAGATTAAGGCGGTCACAGCTGTTTGCGTTTTATTTTTGATCAAACTACGATGGCCCAAGAACAAAAGTCTCTTTCAATTTAGTTACTTTAACCGTATTGCTAAACTCTGGAATGCTCTACTCCGCTGCTTTTTGTACAAACTATGACGTCACTAATAGCCGATTTGCTGCAACAAGTGCAGCAGGCTATGTAATCTTCTATTAGCTGGCAACTGGTGCTACTGACACTTTTTACGGCTGGGGGGATTGAAAAACCGCTCTTATAGTACCTTGAAATAGGATTTTTATACCTCTTATAATACTCGTATAAACATAACAACTTTCTTTAATTTTCCAGACATGAAATAGGATTTTTTATATCTTACTTCTTATAATGTTTTCTTTAAATCAGGTTAATGTGTTTCATAGTACGCAATATTGACAACGCAATTAACGAACTTTGTATTTTTAAATTCAACGCCGAAGATTTCAAAATATGTAACACTGAAGATGACTTTAAAGAAAGTTTGTTTATACGACTATCTATATTGTTGCTGCTATCTAGAACCTCCCTCTGTTGTGTGTCCCGCACTATCGTCTCGCGTTCTTGTAATTTTGTCAAAATGAATATTTAATCCTAGTCTTTTCATAATATTGTAACCATGGTGAAAGCGATTAAATAAAAATAAATCACAGCACATCTTCTCTCATCCATGCACGAACTCTGATCCCGGATGCAATTCTCCAGGGCAGCCTGTCATCAGCTTAGGCATGCGCAGAAGACGAGACGCGAGCGCAAGACCTCAAAAAAGCTTGTAGGTATAGATCATAAATAACAGCGGGTCTAAGCAAGGACCTCGTGAAACACCGCATTGAGAGAGAGTGTACCATTGACCGAAATCAAGAGAAATAGACCAATTTCGATGTATTGAAATTCATACTTGGTTCCGAGGCTTGGGGGAATAAAAGAAGAGAAATCATCTTGAGCTTCAGCAATAATTTCTTTTGTTTTATTCCCCAAAGCCTGGGAATCAAGTATGAATTTTAATATATCGAAATTGGTCTAATCGCGGCTGCCACCGGTCTCTTCGCGCCCTCAAGATAGAAAACAAGGAAAGCACGTAATCACGAAAGCCTAACAGTGATTGCAATCTTCGCTGCAGGATACCGCGTTTCCTCTGTTTCTGAGACATGGCACGCAGGAGATTCAAGAGTCCGTAAAGCATTTTCTAGGAGAAAAACCTGAAACAAATGTTGAATTCTTTTATCTTGTTTATTAATTTACAAGAGCATATAACCAGTAAAAGGTTGCTCATGAAACTCTTATAATTACAAAGCTACACTTGACTTTTTAAAAGTCTTGAAAGACCTGTTAGTTCGCGTTTTTCCTAGATTAAACGACATTAAGCTAGTCAGGCTTTAAACAGGCGTTATTTATTTATTTAATTTGTTACTATTGTCTTTATTATTTATTTATTTGCGCGCTATTCTTGCGTTTGCCCCCGTTCGCCTAAAAAACGCAAAAAAATGACGCCCGTTCTGCTGGCCTACTGTAAAGCTAGCGCACTGCATTAGATCGTTTACTTTTTATCCATTGCTTTCAGCCTTTCCTGTGCTTACCCTGTGAGTGGAGGCAGGCCCCAAGGATCTCAGTTTACCGGGACCTTGCTCCTCTGAAATTTTCTACACCAGCAAGGTAGTGATCGCAAGGCACTGATCACAAGCTTCTGTGGGAAGGGTGTCTACAGCTACTTCATGAGCTATGACTGGCCAGAGCTCTTACTTAACTTAGTTTTGCTTCTCTTGAAAACCTCCCTATGATAAGACCATAAGTGGCAGAAGCGTTTTCATTTAACGCAATTTTGAAAACAGATTATGCAGTGTTTAACTACAATTTACACAACTGGTTATTGAACAGCAACATCGCAGTTGTGAGTTTAAAATACTTGTATTCTATCATTTCCCCAGTCCGCAATTATTATGTTTCCTTGTGTCGTCACAGCGACACCCTCCGGTCTTTTAAACTGTCCTCTTTTATTGCCCTCAGTTCCAAACCGAGTGACAAACGAACCGTCATCATTAAATATCTGAATCCGATGATTGTACGAGTCACTCACGATGATGTGATCGTCAGAGTCCGTGGCTACTCCGGTCGGCCAATTGAGCTCTCCGTCGCCCCTTCCGCTCTTGCCGAACTTGAAAAGAAATTGACCATTGGCGCTAAACACCTGAACCCGATCGTTCCCGAAGTCAGTGATAATCACATGACCTTTGCTGTTGACCGCCACAGCTGTTGGGCAGTTGAATTGACCCTTACCCCCACCAAGGGAACCAAATGATAATATTATCTCGCCCTCCTGGCTGAAAACGATCACGCGCGCGTTTCCTCGATCCACAACAAATAGACGCCCTTCGCTGTCCACGGCCACGCCATATGGTTGGTACAAGCGTTCACTTTGCATATATCCCTTACCGAATTTCTTGATGAACGTTCCTTCTTTAGAAAAAATCTACAAAAAAAGGTCAAATTCACGTGTAAAAGTTATGTGCAGACGAACGAGTATGACGGTCTTTTAGACGTATTTATCACGTTACTTGTGACTTGTTTTAAATTTCGTGTCCGTGAAATAATATAAGGTTAGAAAAAGTGGAAAGAGAAAGAAAAATGAAAATAATCTAAAAACAAGAAAAAGCTATGCACAGGATGGCTTCCCATTCGGTTTCGAGTAATCAGTTGCTTGAAAGACCAATGCCCATTTTTGTCTGACTAACGGATGGCGAGGCTGACGTGTCCTACCGAAAGAGTTCACCAATGATCATAGGAATGAAATATCGGTCATTCTTCTTCCCAGATAGAGCTACTTGCCCCTCTAAAATTTAACTTGCGGAATTGTTTAAGCGGTTACTAAGTGAATAAGTATACAAAAAACCGTAGGGGCAGGCGATCGAACAAGCGACTCAAATGCCTTAATCAGAGCACAGCAGAGAAATGGAATTTTACAGGGATTCTGTTTTAGCAAAACTTACCTGGATTCTGTTATTCATTGTGTCTGCTACTACAATATTGCCTTCGCGGGTGACGGCCACTCCACTGGGAGACTGGAAATGACCATCTCCACTTCCTGGTGATCCAAACCGGAATCGGAAGTTACCCTCCATGTCGAACACCTGTCACACAAACAGAAATGTTATGACTTCAAGTCGCTAACAGTTCTAGCGCGCGGTGGCAGCGAACATGTTGCCCACAGTGGTCTAGTTCCTCAGGCCTCAGAATTTTTGCAACTCCGTCAACTACTTAATTTATTACGTGAAGAAGAGACATCTGTAGGACCGCATATGCAAACCCATTCCCAGCCCCCTTCTTCATGTTTCCGGAACATTTCTTGGCTGAAAGAGACCTTTAGATTCGAGGACGGGGACGACTACCAGTACGAGATTTGACTTAAAGTTTTTTCGCGTATTCTCGAAATATAGACTTCCCGGAAAGCTTCATTCTACCATTTTTCACTAGAAATGTTAGCACTGTTATCTTTATTGAAGGAGGTTACGCGCTCTCCCAATCGGAAAATGATAAAACTTCTAACATTTGATGTCCTGTTTCTGCCACTTCGACACCTTGCTAAAACTCGTAGAAGAATGACGACGGCTACCACGTTTTCCCGCCAAAATGACGTTGGTTCATCACTACTTGGTGCTGAGAAAATCTCGTACTCGTAGTTCTACTCGTCTTCAATCCAGAGGTATCTAATACTACTGGCTGACACTGAGGTGGCGTGCTGACTGACAAAGACGCACATACCTGGAGCCGGTGGTTGCGCGAGTCACTAACAATCACGTTGCCGTCTTGATCCACCGCTACTCCCTGTGGATCGCTTAGCCTTCCAAACTTGGATCCACTTCCCGCGATCGCTCTCTTTGCGCTTCGCACACGTGGTGCGACATCTCCGATGTTTATCTCTAGAGGAAATCCTTCTACAATTTGTCCACGCGAAAAGACGGCAAATGAGAAGACACCATTGAAGAAAGGGTGATAAGCTGAGAATGATTGTCCGTCGGCTAGGCCGAGAAAAGAGGGAAAAATTAAGCTGAAAGAAATTCACTTGAACCAGATTTTCTGATTGAATAGCCTTTAAATAGTCAAATTAATCTAAAAAATGATTACGTTCTACGACTAAGTTGTTAACCTAATTCCGGCAAGCGTCTAATTCTGAAGCCAAGTTTACATCCCGGCGGGGGACTCCCATATATAAAATTGACGGGGATGCTTGTCGGAAAATTAAAATTAAACCCCCAAGGGAGACCAATGTGGGTGTGGTTCAAACGCACTTATCTAAGTGAGACCAAAATCTGCAATTTATGACCCCTAAGCGAGACGACGAGCATCCTCGCTTTTATTTGGGAGTCCCTCCCCGGGATTTACACAAGCTATACATGTTTAATAAGCAAACTATTCAATGATTTATAGGCCAACTTAAATAAATAAGACGAATATGCTCATTTGTTTAAGTTCTTAACTTACACAAACAAGGTAACGGAGGTGACCGGAAAACATGTAATTAAAGGGAAGAATCCCTTCATTAGAGTATTTGGACAAGGTGATATTAAGAATGACGGAAAAACTCAAATATGAAAATGCTTTAAAATATTAAATGGCTTAGAAAAAAGATTGTTCTAAATGAGACAGAGAAAATTCGCCAATTTATGATGTAGAACTGCAAAACGAGCCTTGCAATTGAAACGGCATTGTACGTCAGTATATCCTACTATCATCAAAAGAGTACACTAATTGAGGAAAAATAAATTTTTTATCAGTTTATATTGACGCAGATAAAAAAAGAGAAATATTTACCTTGATGAAATATATCAGGTGGAAGGAGAACTCCGCTTGAGTCTCGCAATTCCACTGAAAGTTTTGGAGCTTCTTTCAAAACATGTTCTGTTTCGCTCGCGCTTTCATTCATTGAAGGAACCTCAATATCTTCTAACAGTAGATGTTGACTGACATTTGTCTTTATACTTCCTAAAGAATGCGCCAGCATGGCCTCAGCTTCCTTGTTGTTCACTTCGTATTTGAGTTCAGCGTTCTCGTGTGGTTCGCAGTCAAGTTCAGTGTTTTTTAAGTCTGTTAGTCTTTTAGTGATGTGTACCTTCAGCGAGAGTAGCTCTACCTCGTTAGCGTATTTTAATACCTGCTCAGAAAAATCGCAACCGGCGCTAAACCTCGCGAAATCTTCTTCCAATTTGTTCTTTTGCCGCCGCAAAATTGTCGATTTCGCGTTATGAATCTTCTCCACTTCCGTCAAAAGTTTCCTTTCTGTGTCCTTTACAACTTTTATCTGCTGCAAAGCAGTTTGTCGAATTTCTGCTTTCACCGTGGCCAGCGTCCCATGAAGGGTTTCTGAAATGCCTTGAATCTGTTTAATCGACTTTTCCAGCAATGGGATATTTTCCGCACATTGCGCGAACAGGTTCTCCACAACCGTTCTCTGTTTCTGTACCTTTTTCGAGTCTTTCACATAATCGTATTTGTGCTGGCGATGTTCAATTAGAACGCAGTCCCTGCATACTGCTTCGTTGCATGTCTCGCAGTAGTATCTCAATTGCTCACTGCGATGGATGTTGCAAAATGCCGGCCTGTGAAGATCTTCGCCGGTTTTACTTTCAAGAAGTTCGCCAATTGTGAGAACTTTGTGTTCTTTCGTCTGCCGACTCCTTCTATGAATGCTGTAGCATTTTTCGCAAAGAAATTCCCCGCAGTCAGCGCATCTAGAATTTGCCGCGGAGTCGCAGTTCGTGCACGGCACGGGTTCTCTGTCGCTCGAATTTATCAATGCAATATCCAACATGTTATCCAAGAATGAATTAACTGGCAAAGCTTCTATATCATCTCTTGAAATTCTCGCGTCTGTCTTGCACAGTGGACAAACAAGCGATTCATTTGGAGCGAGTTTCTCGGCGAGATCCTGAAGACAAACCTGGCAAAATGAATGTAAACAGGGAAGTAGTTTCGGACCTCGAATCAGCCTTTTACAAAGACTGCAATTCAGATGTCTTGAAATGTTTTCGACGTTTACTCCCGCAATTATCGATGAAGACATTTTGTTCACCCTTATTCAAACAAACGATTTCATGAGACAGCTTTTTAAATCACGGCTGCTTCAACAAAATGTTTTCTTCCAGTTCTCGGCGCCCAGGCTCAAATCGTAAACTGACTGATTTGGCTTTAAACTCAGTTTGACTTTTCAGCTTAGCAACAAGAAGGATAGCAACCGTTTAGTTGTCTCTCGTTAAATATTCAGCGCAAATTTGAAGGCCCAGTTAGTCGAATTTAAATAAATCATAAACTTGTCATGGGAATTCTTTCCGTTTACAAATTAAACACGAATATTACAGTAAATCCTCGAAATCGACTTTAGAAACAATTTCGTCACCTTTAAGCTGGCACCTCAGTCCTCTTTAAAACATTACTGTCTTTTCGCATAATAATTATGGTTTTTGCTTTTTAGCATCGAATACGGTGTTTTGTCGCCTCAGTCATATGATGTCTTTTGACAGCTTAGTTCGTAATTTAATATGTAATGTTATGAAGAACCAAACGAAGATTATCACATTTGCATTTAGCCCAGTTCATGATCATTTATTCAAATCCATTATGAGGGAGAAGCGTTCTGCCTTAGCCTAAAATGAAAGTCACTATCATGTTCTTTGTCAAACTAATGTGGGCAAAAATGAAGCGGGCAAATGTATTTTAATGATAGTCATGTATAAGTTAAGCTAGGGGAAGTTGAGCGAATAAATTATTAAAGGAAAGAATATTTGCGATTATGCGAATGATACGACAAAAGGTCTTTATTGGTTAGATTCTTTTGTCTATTTGTTTTAAGTGTCATTCACAAAGCTGATTCAGATGGCAGGTGTTTCTAACAAGGAAAATACAAGGTGAAGTGCCATTATATTTTTAGCCAGGTTCTTCATGTATGAGAAAACATACTGTATCAATAGGGAAACGTAAGAGGCGTCTAAGACACGAACTTAATATGTGACATGCTTTAGAGAAACGTCTTAACTAGGATAGGTTCTATTTTAGAGCCGAATACATTTTGTATCCCATATACTAGAAATGTGTATCTCGCTGAAAAAGAAAAAAAACTCGTTGTGGCACTCGAGTAAAGCCCGTATATCTTGTATTAAGCCTGCATATTCCATATTACATTACGGGAAGTTCGCGGCTTATTTAGAATGCGTCTTAGGTTACACGCACCTTATTTTTCTACTTATGTCTTCCCACCTTCCTATTTATGTCCCCATACATCAAGTACCTACCCTATTTGTGTCGCGCCGCTGTCCAAAAAGAATCGGAGGCTCGATTACCGGCCGCTGTCCGGGAAAATGAACCCGCCTCACATTATCCGCGATAGTCTCTCTTGGGGAAGAAGTAAGATCGAACTCGGGAGAGCGGTGGAAATCGTGCTTAAAGGAATCACAGCCTCTGGCGGAAGCAGGAATATTTTATAGTTGTTTTTATCACAAAAAAAGCTTACTGTATAGGGTTTCACATGATCAACAATTAGACCTGTTAGTTGTGTTAGGTGGTGTTTACATAAGAAAACTTGTACCAGCGCAAGCTTCATATCGGGGCCCTTCGGATTTCGTATCAGGTTAACATGTTCCTGTCCCATGACCAACCAGTGGTCGTTCCTTGTTTACATGATTTGCACCGGAATGAAATTCTCGCCCTGTTGCTGCAACGCGGATGAAAGCGTGCCGGCATATATGAGGAAATTACTTGGTATACAGAGTTACGAGATGACATGTAAACACTCCTTTTGAAAGGTTACTCGACCCTAGCACCATATTTTTTAACGCCCACGCTTTTCTTTTCGCTCGTCTCGATAAACTGAGCGCTTAGAACAGGTTAACATCACTCTCTTAGGGTGACAGAGAAGTGACCATCTTGGTGTTAAGAGTGAGACTGGGTCAAAGTTGTGTCGAAATGCAGTATGGGACTGTTTTGGGGAATGAAAGAAGCCAAAGCGTCCCGAACCAATCCCATGGTGCAGCGCGACATAATTCTAACCCACAATTGCAGTCTGGTGCGCAACCGCAAAATGGTCAATCTATACCCTGCACTGTCAGGCACCTTAGAGACGTCAGCTTGGGATCTAGTCTCCCACGCGGACTTCCTTAGGGGTTCCTCACGCGTTCCTGCCCCACGTTCGTTGGGGAGGATTGCGTGACGGACCAAAGGTCTGCGTGGGAGGCTACTTGGGATCGGGATAAGCCAATGAAAACCGAGTTATAGAAGATTCTTAACGGAACAGTCAGGATTGAAGAACTCTACTGGGGACCTTCAAAAATGGTCGATCTTTTCCTTTTGTAAGGTACCTTATCGACGTATGCTCAGGATCAAGATTAGTCAATGAATGAATAGCGTCGAGAATGCGCGATTCAGGGAAGATTCACGTCGGGACCGACAGAATTGAAGACCTCTTTTGGGGACCTTCGGTATAGGAATGAGCTAATTTTTTAGTTCCTAGACCAAGATATTTATTTCGCCGCTAATATTGTAAAGATAAGTAAAAACCCGCCTTAAAGGCGGTTACCCGAGACGGTTCGCAACGACGATTTTTAGCGAACCACAGCATTGCAATATTGTAACTATTCGAAACAATGTCGCAATGCTGTGTTGCGCTAAAAATCGTCTCGTGTAACATCAAATTAACGTCGCTTGGATGACTTCCATAATGTACCAAAGTTGGTTATGTGCTACCTGTGCGAAGACCTGATCGTTTGTGAAGCAAAATCTCGGTTTTCCATCGCGGATTACGTACTGAATCGTTGGAACAAGAAATAGAAAAACCAAAGGCATCTAAAACTACAAAATCAGTTTATCTCCTTCTTTATTCCACTAAATTGAAGATTAAAAAGACGGAGGTACAAAACGTTGCCTTCAAAATAGCTCGGAATAGATAGCTAAGACAAAGACATTTTTCTTTGCCACTTATGTTACTATTTCAAAGTTACAAATGCAGAATGAAGACAATTCTTTCGTTAAAGCAGGGAGTAACTTAAGAGTCAGGAAAAGGACAATGAATCCAAGTTCTCGAGACTATTTACAGAAGAGCTTGACCCTACCCTGTGCGCATGTGATTCACAAAATTCTTTCAACTTTGGATGTACTTGACAGCTAACTGCAGGCAACGTAATTACGTAAAAGAAGGTAAAATATGTCAAACGTGAAGTAAGCCTTTTAAAGCTCTTGATTCGAGAAAAGTGAGTCCACGTCAAAACACCCTCTCTCTGAAATAAAGTTTTCAAAATAATAGGTCTTCACAAACGGTTTATCATCTTCGGTGGCGTCTTTCGCGATCACGTGATCTTGAGCGTTTGTCTCGTGACCTTGATCTCCTGTCCCTATCACGTGATCTGGACCGCGACCGTCGACTACGCCTATGTCTTTTTTCTCTGGTTTCCCCTTCAAAGTCGTCCTTCTCGCTGTAATGATGTTTACTTCCTATCGCCCTAAAACGGATAAAGAAAAAAAATCTCTTTAAAAACACAATTTTCCTTGATTCGGAACAAAACTTCCTAACGTTTAATTGACCTAGAATATCAAACATTCCCTTTGGAAGCCACATGTTAGCTATTCAAAAAAATATTAAAATTTTTGATAGTTAAAGCGAAAGGAACATTCAGTAATATATACTTACCTTCTTTCAAGCAGCTGTGCCTCAAGTCCTGCAAGACAATCTTGCAATGACTGAACAAGCACCTAGAACAGAAATAATACATCCAGTCACTACTTCACGGTCAATACCTGGAATATCTAAAACCTTGTATCAAATTGTTGAGAAAATCGCGCCTCTACGGCCAGACAGACGACCAAAACAGTTTGTAACCCTACCTCTCCCCGGATCAATGTTATTTGGATCTGCTCAGTGTTACCCGGGCATCGGCTCGTGAATCAGTCGTTGAATTAGGGGAACAGGTCTTAAGCCAAATACCACGCCTGGGCTATTTTCTCATGTAGCTTTGTCCAAGATAGTAGCACACATTTAAAAGGGATGGATCCATTTCGTGACGAGTATATTTTGTGGACAGCACATGAGCACTTTAAGGACGCTTCCTAACAGCTTCATAAAGTGCAAGCCACTTCATTAGGAGGCAGAAAGTTGAGGACTACGATGTTGGACAGTGGTAGGTCAGAAGTGCTTAGCTATTATATGGCGGGACAGTCTCCTAGCAACTGACTAAAGGATATCATAATAACATAAGACTAGCATTGAAAAAAAAAAACAAACAATGACCTTTTTGGTAATGTACAGCGGAACCCCGCCTTACGGCCACCTCGTTTAAACGGCAAAACGGTCGGCAGGGTTGTCACTAAGATTTCAAGTTGCCGGGTAAACACAACAAGTAGGCGGGTAATCAAACGGCTAGGGATTTCTTTTGGTTCTATTTTTCTTCTGTTTTCCAATAAAAGTAGCCGGGGGCCACTCTCTTAGTAGCCGGGGAAAATCCCCGGCCCCCGGCTCTTAATGACAACCCTGCCGGTCGTCATACATTTTCTTATAAAAAAAACCCTCGTTACTGCGGTCACCCGTTAATACGGCAAACGGCCACATTTTTAAATTCCAAACAGCAGAATCTTTTATAATTTCATCCCGTTAATAAGGCTACTGACTCGTTCGAAATTTAGAAAATTAAAATGCCTGAGACGTGTCAATTTCACTGATCTAGCCAGCTGAGCCTGTTCTTGTATTGCCTTTAGACTAAAGTACACTTAAAATGCGTTTGTGGCGGTTTAATGGACGTGTTTTATGTACTAAAGAAAAGTTTCAAGTAGTTTTTGCCATTATAGTACGCGATATCTTCATTCCGGTTGTTTATTAAAGAGAACAGTTGCTCAAGAAGTTCGAATGCAATGTGTGGTGTATTGTCATTCCGGTCGGCTTAAGTCATGAAATTTTACCCTGCCCCAGTAATACGGCCACCCCGTTAATACAGCCATATTTTTATGACCCACTGGTGACCGTTTAACGGGGTTCCACTGTCCGAAATCATTCTAGTCTGCAAACAGTCTCTTTTCAGTTTGGCAGCAGGACTGCCAGCAGTTTAAAATCATTCCTAAATAATCAGCAGAACACAATGGGTATTTTGACTTAGTTGATTCGAAGTGCCCTACCTGACATCTCTCCTCCACAGCTGTTGGTGACTGTTTGATAAGAGAGATAGCTCCAACTAATGTTTCTATTCCACTTTCATAGTCACCTAGTTGTTAGAAGAAGAGTAAGATGTGTTACTGTATCTACACACAAACCCCCCTCACCCTTGGAGTCAATTGTAGTAGCCTGTGTTGTAGCTAGACATGTCACTTGAGAACTAGATAGAGAACATCTACATCCACATCTTTAATCTATAAAGGTTTCCCATTACATAGATGTGGTCAGGTAGAGGTCACAGCATTGATATACAGGTTACTTATATATATCGTAAATATATTAAAATGAACATAAGTGAAAATAAACACCATCAAATACACTATTAGTTCCGGGTTTGCAGCTCTTGGCTTAGCCCTTTGGTCGAAGATGTCGGCCCGTGACTGACCCCAAAGCATGTCTGCCACACTCAATTGCAGAAAGTGAGAAAAAGCCCCTGGTACCCAAGGTAAGCATGGGGACATTAAGTTAAAGTATCCGGCCTAGGACAACAGCCCTGGGTACAGCTGTTGAAATAAAACCCCTTTAGCAGTACTTAATGGTAATATTACACTATCTTTCCCCAGTACCTACAACGCAAAGTTCTCGATATTTTGATATTTTAAATTAGGGCACTCTTATAAGCGAAAGGGTGAGATCAAAAGAAAGATAAAAATAGCAGCTTACCAGCATTAGCATCAGCCATAGCTCTCTTGATAGCACTACTGGCAAGGACCTGATTTCTCTTCATTGACTCACTGTATTCATCTACAAATGAATTTACCAACATCACTTCGCATTTATTTCTGACTTTAAGACTGAACAGATGGGCAAGAGGGGGACAGGAGATCAGAAACTAAAATTTCCCACACAGCCATCATTTTTATTCCCCACTGTTCTACCCCACCTACAGACCTCTCCAACAGCAAGGACTGATCACTGGCCATTGGATTTGAATATGAGTAGGAATCAAGTAAGAGTATGACTTTGGAATTTCCAGCCAATAGAGAAGAAGGGTGACGTAACATTAACATGGTAGCAAAATTTCTGGATCTCAACAAAACACACCATGATGGCAATGATGTCACCTAAAAAGTGACTTCGCGTTCAATGAAACTTCAGATCGATTATCTTAACTTGCTCACTTTGTGTTATGCTGTAGGAGAACTCTCTTGGAGTTGAATTCTCAAGAAAAATTTCCAAGTTTGAAAAAAGATTCGTCGTCACATGTACATGTGGTTGATAAAACATGAAATTACATGTGGGCAATTCACATCATCAAGTCGTGGTAGTGCAATCACTGCAAACAAATGTACAAAAAATTTTGCTGCATGTGCAAAGCTGTTGTTTTGATGATCTTAACCTATTCAGCTTTTTTGTCGTTCTTGTTGCTGTTGCCTTTGCCACAGTGGAATCTTAAACACCCACTTAGAATATTCAAATAACTCAACGTGTTTAGAATTATAGTGGTTTTCTCCCTGATTAATTGATTTTGGCTTGTCAGTGAAGAAATATGTGAGCGCACTGACCGCCATGGCTGCCATTTTGATCTCAACAGTTTGTTGAGATCCAGAAATTTTTGCTACCAAGGAAACTTGACATAATGACTTCTCCTCTTTATTGTATCCCCCAAATTATAACTCTTTTCCATTGCTGACTAGCACATAAATAGAACTAAATTAGGAATACAATAAGGGCATGATAAGTTACCATAAGAGGGACAATCTAAAGGTACTTATTATTGGTTACAAGGACCGCTAGACTGGACACAAATGACCTGAGACCTACTATTCAATATCAGTCTTCCTGATAAAGCACTATCCATTGAATAAGTATTTGCAATAGACCAATTTCAATATATTGAAATTCATATTTGGCTCAGAGGCTTGGGGAAATAAAACAAAAGAAATGTATTATTCATTGCTGAGCCTCAAGATGACTTCATTATTTTGTTTTATTCTCATAGCCAAGTATGAATTTTAATACATCGAAATTGGTCTATTTGGTTCTATTTGAGTGTTGGCTAACATTAAAACACACAGAGAGAATATGTCATCCCTATTTCCAGACAAATGCGGGGACATTTCAAGGAGTTACAAGAGAATTAAAGGTCTTCACAAGGACTCATAAAATTCAGAAACTACAGTATATAAACCTTGTAGTGACCCAGAATTTTTCCACATTTTACAAATGGATGCTCTAAAAAAATAGAATGTGACATTTAGATAAATGCAGATCTGTACCTGCAGGTCTGGGCATAAACTGCGACATTGCGTTAGGACCTCCAGCTGCTAGGAATGCATCCGGCTAAAAATCAGATAAGGGCAGAAGGATTATGGGTTGGTGGCGTTGCTTCAAAGATTCTGCTCGAGCCACAATAAACAAATACCAACCAAAGCCTACTTTTCACCGATTTGATAACTTCTCTCTGCTACAACACCACAGCATTCATATTGTAAAAGAACTGAATGCAAAACCATCTTACAATAACCCCTTTTTAAAAAGCTAGTTTTAACAGGCATATTAACATTGAAACTTGTTCTCCAAATTATTTTCAGCTCTTTGCATATCTTGGAAATTCTTCTAGAGAAGCTGAAATAATCTATAATAATATGGTATGCACATGCATGGTTTGGAGAGAAACTTACCGGTGGTCCTTCAGGGAAAAATGCAGGATTCACATGTGGTGCAACAGGAGGTTTGGGAAAATGAGGAACCATGCCTAAAAAAAGATTAAAAATGTTATCCTCAGTTTCTGATGTGGAACAAAGTGGCTAATGAAATTTAGGAAGGATTAACCTTACAACAAATCCGGCTTGCCAGTGGTGGACCCAAGACAGACACACCAAAGACCAATTTGGCAGTGCTGTTTCGGTTTTGGCTGCGCAAAAAATGGAACAAGAGTGCCATTTTTTGTGTGGTCTTTGACTTTAGTTCCATGTTCTTTGCTTCGAAACCACACAAAAATGCTTGCTATGCAGGCTAAGGACAGTGT